TTGACAAGAGATTCCTCTTCAACGGCAGTCAATTTATGGCCACTGGCACGTGTTTCTGAACGTGGTTGGATTCCATCAAGCCGATTAATAAAAGTAGACTTTGGCACCCCAAAAACTGCTGCTGCCTTTGATTTTGATTGAATTTTTTTGCTTCTATACGCGCTGATGGCCATTTGAATTCGATTTTCTTGAGAAAGAGGCATTTTAGATGATGGTGGTGACAAAATGACGCGTTGAAGTATGATTGTTGGAAAATTGCGGAGGAAGTGGACGGGACGGCCGTGTGGACGGCTCGGCCGTGGATTACGTTAAGTCATGACACCTTACCCCACAGCTGACAAATTAATAGAATTGATGTTGCTGACAAAAGTCCACCGCAGTAGGCATAATTATATTTCAAAAAACCTTTGCAATTTATAAACTTCACTTTCCGCAGCTGCATGGGGCAACCTGGTGCTCAACCAGGGTGGACCGACTGTGATCCTGGTGGTTGGCGGCCAGCACGCCGGGAGCAACCACGGTACCCCAGGGGGAATATGTATTCTGGCGGATCGGCATCGTTGAGACAATACCAGTGGCCTTGACTTCGATGTGCAGGTTGGCAGACTGGTCGAGTACAAAAGCCAAGATATACTCGTAGTTCATCACCGTTATAGTGCACCGAATGACCAGCTGGCGGCTGCGCACCATAGACGCCTTATTGTTACGGAAGTTTGTGTGCTTCCACCCAATTCCATTATCCATCTCGTGCATGCAGATAACATCCTTTATGACAACCGGCTCGCCAGCGCCAGTGGTACGAACTCCATCCAAGTAAGCAATGTGGCTGAGGCAGTCACATCCCAGCGTCAGGGTGTTGGAAGTAATGCCGAAGCCCGAGTCACCCAAGTCGAACGCCTGCTTGCGGTGGTAAGGGGATTATGGATTTCCGTATGGAACGGTCATCTCACTCATATACACGCGGTCGAAGAGAGATCTTCCATCATAGAACACATTGTTCAGAACAGGCCGTTCATGAACTGTCCATCCCTTGTGGAATGACCACTTCTGCCAAGTGATGTGCCGGCCATTGATGCAGAAAGACAGACCCTGTGGCTGAACGATTTGTAAGGGCTTGAGGTTCTTGCGGAAATAGGCATCACCAAGGAGAGATGTGCTGTATTCCACCGGCTTGACAGGGTCCCAGGGCTGGGTATCAGTGTTCAGCTTCGCATCAACGCCAAGAGGAAGCCTTTGAACCTCGATAAGCTCGGATGTATCCACATTGAATATTGGCGCAAAGGGGGCTGGGAGAGAGTAATGGTTTGCTTCAGGGTCGTCGGTGCCGAAGGTCCATGGGTCATTTGTCACATAAGCCCTATACAGCACCCAAAAGGGGCATTACCCTTATCTGCGTCGATACAAGTATCTGACATTCTTAAAGTCAGATATACCCACCCTTCCGGCAATTTCAACTTCTTAATTTCCTCCTCGACGGCGGGATACTCGTTGCATACATTGTAGATGCACCCAATCTCGTCGATTTCAGCCAGGCCCTGGATGTCGGGGCTCTCCGTATCCGATTCGACTTTTCCATCCGTGGGATTGATCGTAGCCTTTCGGAGAGTGCCGTCGCGTTTCTCGTGATAGTAAGTGTAGGCCTTGCGGGGCGGCGCCTGCACTTTTGAAGCTCGATCATGCAAGAACGCCAATTATAGTATTAAATTGTGGAAATATTGACGCACTATTCGAAAAAATGCCAGAATCGTGGCGTAGATGAATACACATAGTACCTGAGCATCAAATGCAAGAAATTGATACAATGCAGCGTGCTCGAAAGCCTTTCCGGACTCTCCCAAAATGTTGACTGGTCCAATTGCGAATATATATCACTGAGAGACATCAGAGGGGACCTCCACGCCATGATTAATGCGAAATTCGGGGCCTTGGTTTTATGAATATGTTAAGATTGAGATAATACCATACCGCGTGCTTTTTAATGTCGCCCTTAAGCATCCTACAGTTCAATATAGTATCCATGAAATAGTTAAGCTCTTCTTATAAATGTATTAAGAAGCTTATCAGTGGGACATTTCCACACGGTATTCCTAAGAATGCCATGCAGGGATTGTGTTGGCTAGATATTGCACCTTTTAGGCCTACCCTGGTGCGAATTTCAAAGGCCTGTACTATCTTAACGGAATGGCAAATCCAGACAAAATGCTATAATTTTCCCGCGTGAACCTTCCACTACTCCCAGGGAAAAGATACCTCCTCCGAATTGCGACATACCCTTTTTATCTTGCGATTTGGCCTCGATGTGGTGATATAGTGATATAGTATATATAGATAGCGTAGAAGAAACAGTTCAAACATATTTTTTCTCCTTAAGCAGATTTGTATAGCTCAAAGACATCTGACTCTTCGCGATGGCCGAATCGAAGACCGTCTTTCCTCCGCAAGATGGATCCCTTCCTCAGCCAGGTAAATTGGCATCTAAACAACCGGCACCGCACAGGTAGCAGTCAGCATGGACGAGTATAAGTCAACTGTCCCTCTGTGGAAGCGATCATGGCAACATAGCTTGACGCAGATGCTCCTTCTGAGTATTCAAGCTTTCTGTGTGCCAGCTATGGGCGATGCCATCGGTAGTAAGTGTGAAGCTAATCAATCTTCGACGCAATGATACGACCACTGAATATTAACTAATGATATTCAGGCCTCGGTGGTGGTGGCCTTGCAACTCCTCACATATCAAACATTGCGTCCGCAGTCGGATATGCAGCGCTAGCTGTCAGTATGTTTCAGATGAGGCAAGGATTTGTGCAATGACCGGGTCTGTCGCTTCCAGGAGAACCAAATTTTATGATCATAGACACTGACAATATCATGGTGCAAGAAATGCCAAGGAGGCAGTGGATATTACAAGAGAGGCGAATATTGTGGCGTGAGACTAGTAAGTAACAGTCGACGTACCTGGCCTACCGGGTGGCTAACAAAGATAAATAGTACTTGCTGCTGCTGTTATGACTGAAGTGCTAGTATGGCCAATCTACACACACAAGGAAGAAGAATGTGCAGTTCAAGAAACCTTTCCTCAAGTACTTCTAAAGATACCGTAAGCGCTGTATGTAGCCGATAATTATTGAACATATAGTTGTCAGACTCTAGTCTGGTAGATATCTCGGTACCGGATACCTTGATGTTTCGACTCAAAGTTCTTCAATATATTCTCTTGCTCAAAGTCCAGAGATTAAGCTCCAGTTAGTATATATGCATACTGTATCCATCAAACTCGCAGTTTCTCAAGCTGCCTTACAACTTTCCAAAGCAGATCGCTCTCAAGCCCATATTAAGGGTCTTCGCCACTATAAGTACTCTCATAATTTGCCCCTTCTCCTTTTGCATGGTCATTGCTCGCGGGTCGTTGTCCTTTCAAGCAAGTGACCACGGCCTGCTGGTATATCTCACCAACATCCGCAACATGATCCTCCTTGAGACCCTGGAAAATCCACTTTGCCTCAGCATAGGCCGATGTGCCAATCATGCTATGAAAGCTGGTTGACTCCCACATTGCAATCTTGAATGACACAACATACATAACTTTGAGACTATAGAAATCGTCTGAGCGGTGATACTGCCTGTGACTCAGGTCTTCCAACAATCCTGGGTTCATAAAGATATCCAACGGGCCCTTGATCATCGACGTTGTTTCTTCCAACATAAACCTGTTATTCTGCCATTCATCATTCCACTCTCAATCCACATGCTGGCCATCCGGTCCGCGAGTGCTGTAGTCCGCCTAAAAAGGGCGTGTCAGTTCGGAGATCTGTGCTCTCAGCGTTGTAGAAGGAAAAAACCGGTGACTCCCCAGTGCCTGGTGTAACCATTGACTACACTGCGGCTGGTAAACTGCCTGGAACAGCGCGTGATCGAGACAAAATCTCGCTCATAGACTCAGAGTGTTGGCGGCACCGTCTTCATCGGCACACTCCAAAAGCGTTTGTAGCGAGACGGGAGGTCGATGCTCATCGACCCAAGATGGCAGCTTGGAAGCAAATTTGACTAGCTTGCAGGGATCACCACGCTCGCGGCCTCTCAAGGCAAGCCAGTCTAAACAGTAAAGTACTATGCGACAGGCTGGACCGGCACCATGAGGAAAATTGCTGGTCTCCTGGAGTAGGGAAGCAATCTTGTTACGCCATTGAACAAGATCGACCCCTATTACTACTTTTACTACCATTGAATATACTATAATATCAATCTTGCTAAGCCCTGAACACCTTATACATAAAAGGCCAAGAAGTAAAAAACAATTTGGCTAAAAAGTCAAACGGTAGAACAAAACAAGACTCGAGCACCAACTGTTCCCTGTCTAATGCAGGCCAAAAGGCGAATCAGCAACGCCAGTGGTGATATTTTCCCTCGCGGCCCTTTTATTGTCTCTTTCTTCTATACTATAATATGCTAGCAGGAGCGCCATCCACTGTCCTCGCGAGAATATCCAAAGCAACATCCATCTTTGGACCTGAGTAAGCCACACGAAAAACCCTCGGCCACCCACGCGTATTATTGGATGCAAACTCAAACTTTGTGCCTTGCGACTCATCGACAAAAGGATTCTCAGTAACCACAGGGAAGTGGATGAAATAATCCCTCCGGACCACACCAAGTGTAAAATTATCAAATGAGACTGACTCTAATACTGGAAAGCTGCTGAGACTCTGAAACATTCGTTTTATGTCTTCAACATTTGCATACATTCGCATAATATTTATTTTGAGAACCCGGAGGCTATGTCGGCATCTCTGGAGTAGAACCATTAGGTCTTCAATTGACACTGGGATACTTTCTAGTTGAAGTTCCTGTAATTGTGACCATGGGCCATCTACTGATGCAAGACGATGGATAAGTTCTGTGTATCCACTCAGACCATGGTTCTTGAGATGCAGCGTGTGAAGATTGGGGGCGTGAAGGAGTATATTGAATGTCCAATCACGAACAATGTCATGCTCAAGTGTATATATCAGCTTCAACTGTTCAAGGTGCTGCCCAACTGCAATAAATTGGTCCTTGTCTGAAACTTGCAGTCGCTGAGGGTCTGGAGCATAGTTAAATTCATCCATGAAATTGACTATAAGTGCAGTGACAGGATGATGGGTCCTTGCAACAACGTCCAGGAGTGTTGTGATTGAGTCCGTTGGTCTGAAATTGTCATTATCTGACTGATCTCTAACCTTGGTGATAACAGCATAGATCTCGAATGACTTGCAGCTGACCAGTTGGCAGAGAATGTTGCATAGTTGTTTCACAGCGGGATGTTCCTGGAGATTGACAAGATGGCCAGACTGATGGCGATGTGAACTCCACTTGTATCCTTCTCCAAGATTTTCAAGGCACTCATCAAAACCTGTAAAAACCATGTGGTTCACATAACACCGTAGTTGGGCATCCCTTGAGATCATCTCTAGTTCTCTCAGATTGGCACAGGACAGATCAGTCTTGATGCTTTGCAAGGAGACCCTCCAAAACACAGAGGAGGCTTTTCCATAGATGGCTTTACATGACATTCGTAAAGCCCCCAAATCGGATGGCTGCAACGAGGAGGCCACTAGTTCGACTAGTTCTAGTGGCAGGTCACATAACGGAGTGTGGGGACTGGGCGATTCTTTTCGGCGATGAAGACTCAGAGATTTGAACTTGCGGAAAAAATGTTTGCTGGTGCTATTTAAGCCCATACTTCCTTCTTGTTTGTCTTTCGAGGTCGTTGATGAGTGATGGTTGATGGAGTGACGATGTTGAGGGAGTGAAGAGCCCGGGTTAAGTAATTTCTTCGGACTGCCAATCCCAAGGATGAGCGAGGCGGATTTAATAACTAACGTAATCGGTAAGCGAGTGACGCATATAAGCAAGATGCATGATTCTCGTTACCCGAGTCTCAGTGCCAGATGACTTCGTGTTACTCAACTGTCATTAGTTGTATTATCATGTCTTATGGCTTGGAAACAACCTGTCAAACTGGCAGCGTAGACAGGCACAGGGGCCTATCAGCCATGACCTCTGGTTGTCATATTCTATATCGTAGTCATGTAGTAGAAATCGCTAACATAGATGTAGGACAGGTGAGTGTCTATTAGGAAGAAGAACAAGAAAGTATTAGTTAATGGATACCTTTAATGTGGTGCTGTGAATGCTGCTTTATTGAGGCAGCAGTGACTGCTCAAAAAAACATTAACCTTTCATCTTTTTTCTTTATAACCTACCACAATCCATTGCCAATTATTCTATTTCATCATTTAACCAACATCAGCCAGACCGTCTGCGCCAAAATAGAAGACATGGACGAAGCCAGTCAAGCAGAAATATCCAGACTCCTTCTACAGGATACTGAGCACATATCTGACGCAAGCATAGACACGCAAGCGGACTCGGATCTTCAGCTAGCCCTGAGTCTCTGGCAAGAAGAAGTCAACAAATACGCCACTATTTCAGAAGATCGCAGGGTAGCGGAGCATGTCGCCAGCGCACCTAGACGAGATAGAGGAAATAGGGCGGCTTTTCGTGGCCGGAACGACAAACAGGCTATCGCGTCCTGGCGTCGTTTGGCAGCAGAACAGGAGGTTGATTTGCTTGGTAATTCTCGCTGCGATTCTTAAGAGCTGACTGTTTCTATTTACTAATATGGCTAATTGGCAGGACACGACCCACCAGCCCAGGCTCAAGCTGAAAGCCCCGAAAAGAATGTCGCCCCTCAAGAACAACCTGAGCCCGAACCCGAACCCGAACCTGAACCTGAACCTGAACCTGAACCTGAACCTGAACCCCCTAAACCCGATCTACTCAAATGCATCTCATGTTCGGAGATCGTACTACCAGACACAGCAATGAAAACCCCCTGCTCCCACCACCACTGCCGTACATGCGTGATAAAGCTCATCCAACTCTCCTTCGATAACGACTCCATCTTTCCACCGCAATGTTGCAACACTGAAATTCCCCAGACCTTGATCCAACCCATCATTGATCAGGATCCCGACCTCAAACAACAATTTGAGGACAAACTGACTTGCCATGATGATTCAACCCGGACTTCCTGCTCCAACCCGAATTGCGCGCGGTACCTCAGTCCCAACACAAAGTCCCCGGGCACAAATATGCGATACTGCGTGGGTTGCTTGCGCTGGACGTGCGTGACTTGTCAAAAGACCCATGTTCCATGGATGGGGTGCCAGTTTGACAATGAGGACTTGTTGCGGTGGATGGAGGAATGGAAGTGGCAGCAGTGCTGTCAGTGTAAATACGGGATCGAGCTTGAGGCGGGCTGCAATCACATTGTGTAGGTTATTCGCACTTATTCATCCCCTGTCATGGATCGTGTGCTAATTGGAATTGATTCCTTTACAATGACAGTTGCCGCTGCGGGAACGAGTTCTGTTACGAGTGCGGTGCGACGTGGAAAAGCTGTAATTGCGAGTTGCATCGCTACTTTGGTCGTTCTTAGAACTATCTTGGTACCAATCAAAATTGTTACTAGTCAATTCGCGATACATATTACAGAGAATCATTCACTATTTGTTGGCATTTAGCAATGCATTCGGTTGTAATAGACTTATATATCTTACCCTAAGACAGCTAGTCAATAATGCGCGTAGTAGGGAAGCACCCTGGTGAAGTGAACAACTAGAAGGCTGTTTTCCCAATTCGTTTTACTCTCCTCCGTCCCCCGCGTCTCTCTTCTCCTGAGTGGCATCCGTTCTTTTACCAGACAAAAGAAAGGAGCTTCGTGTAAGTTGTATGAGGTTGAGCCAACTGAAAGTACTACGGAAGACTTACAAACTAACCATTACCGCTATTTGCTACGGCAGGAAGCCCTACATCTCTGTTAGAGACCTCTACTATATGGATACGATATAAGGCATGCTCCGCGTCAATCCTCGACCGGCCCCGCCGCGTCAATCGCACAATGTTTCTGGCAGTCAAGCTGTCGTGGGCAGTAACCGTCGTCGCTACCCCAATACGCAGATGAGCATGGCGATCCGGCACAAGCCAACCCCAACGCGGCTGATGAAATCAAGACATGAAGACGACAATCTTCACATCCACCGGCGAGGAAATGCCCTCGTGGTCACACGTAATCGTCAATGGGTTCTTCGCCAACTTCAAGTCATGGCAAACAAATATAATAAAGATAAATAAGCTGCACGGAGTCTTCCACGCAGGGATCATGGGGTTTACGGAAATAAGCTGCACAGCCAGTGTGGTTCCACACTGCAGATCAAGCTTTGGAAAAACGGTATTAACTTGCATAGACGAGAAATCAGCTGCTAACGGAGTAACATATTGGGGGACATAAATATGCGAGGCTGATTACTGATTGAGACACTCCTTGAATATCGCCATAAGCCCAAATAGTCTGCGTTGAACCATGCTTCCATACGCTTGATGGCTCAGGGGATTCTTGAACAATCAAGATGATACTATCTGACGATCACAATCCGGCATCATCAGCCGTTAACAATGCAACTGAGGACTGTACCTTTGGTAACAGTGGCTCATAGAGCAGCATCATGCACTGGCGGAGTAATTATCGACTCCAGTGAAAGAACCACCCTTCATCTGGAGGAGGGGGAGACCACGGCGAGGGAGACCAGGTCAGAATTGGCGGCCTGGATAAAACGGGACCTACCCCCCGCCGATTGGTTCTTGAATGACCACATTGTATGGCTAACGTTCGCTATAGAGACTGGTGCCTCTCCTCTGCGAGTCCTCTTGGAGTCCTCTTGTTGTGTTTGTGTGGGTTAGACTGACATTGTTATAGGCCGCTGCAAAAATCCACTCTGTTGCAATGAATCCTGTGCCCTCTCGCCTCTTCTTCGCGGACACCGGCCCCGTTCCTCCAATCTTCGGTGCGTCCGTCCATCCAGTTTCAGGTTGAATTGTCCGTGTATTCGCCCGTTGCCTCGAGGGTGCCTTTGAGACTGTGGTTTCGCCTGTCCTTGAGGCCCATGTAGACGCGCCAATCTCCGTGCCGCCTTCTCCGTCGCTTGCCCCTGTCTCTGTGAAACCATGAACTTGCAAGAAGCCAGCAAGAGCAGGCCCGCTGTAACAGCAGACGGAGACTGCCTAGTCTCTTGCAACAAATTGAAGCAGTCTGAGTTAGATGGCTGATCTAATTGACCGATCTTCCCACACCATCCTCCCACGCCCAAGACAAACACCATGGGCTCATATTGCGATTATAAACGAGAGAGGTCCTTTACCCGAGCTATACCAAGACTATGGATGCAGTTGCGTCTGTTTTCTGCCCACCATGTCAAGGATTCTTGTCAATAACGGCATTTGAGCCCGTTGAAGGAACCGGGGCCTTTAGGAGTCCACAAGCAAGGAACACTGCGATATTTCGAAAGATTTACTGAAGTGTTGCGTTTATTTAGTCAAGAATCACGGAGACTTACACATCTCTGACAGAGAAGAGTGGATAGTGCATCTCAATATGCCGATTTATGGAAATCCTTAAACCGAACGGACCACCTGAATGGCCAACACTCAATTTAGAGGCTGCTATCAGTCTAATTATCACCAGTCAGGACTGAAACCGTCCGTGGATCGAAGAAAAGAAATCTAAATGGGTCACAGTCACTTTCTCGTTTGACCTAAGATTGACACTATCGACATCCTTTGTGAATACAAACGACAAAGTTCTTGAACGAAACAAGCGAATCCTATGCCTCATAACTATGCACATTAGCACCGGACTGTCGATATTGCGAGTGGAAAATGTACAAGCAATTTGAAACGCACACGATACCGTGATTACCAAATCTATTGGTACATCGAAGACAATTTGCTCCATAGACGACAATCTGTTGTGTCCTTTTTCTTTGATTCGAACGACGAACATGCGGGCGATCAAACGCCTACATGCCAAAACCAATCACGAAATGATGCAGCACATGGCTGACGTCTCCTGATCGATATTGAATGATCAACACTCTGTGGAGATAACTGGCTCGGCGCATACCCAAGCACATCGAATGTCCATACAGATGGATTTGCGTGGCTGGTAGGAGCTGTGAACCTCTGGCAGACTCGAGGTCCAAAATGCAAAGAACATTTTTGGAAGTTTGCTTTTTTTGAAACAAAACTATTCGTTACGCCTGCCTTTGAGAATGGTTCTTCGCCCATGTCGCTGAGGATTGGCCCATTGCCGGACAGTTAGGGTTTGACCCTTGAGATACTTTCTCGTCTTTTTTGCTATTTGTACGAGTGCTATGTTATTCTCTCTCTCTGAGTGACGGAACAGTTGACGGTGAAGATGTTGGCGCCGTAATGTTAATCAGGATGTAAAGCAACAATGGCCAGCAAGGCGAGGAAAGGGACGAGAAGTATCCATGGGCAGAATCGGCTCAATGTGTGATGGAAAGCGTCAGTACAATTATCAGAATAGTGTACATGTATTCTGTAACTATAGTTAAACACTTGTATATATAATCAGAATCCCAACGGATCCACCTGTCCCAAGAACGCAGCATTCCCTTCTCCCCGTAGCAAAGCATCGATATCAACCCGTCCAGACGTCAAATACTTCTCACTAACACCCACATTAACCCTCTGCGACAGCAAACTCTTCAATTGCGCTCGCAGTCCCGCCATCTCAGCCTTGGTGACATTTCCCGCCTCTTTCTCGCGCTGGTGACGACCGCGCCCACGACCACGACCACGACCTGCACCCTTATCGAATTCTTCGCTGTCATATTCGACGCCAAGGTCTTCCGCCGCGTTGCGTAGCCAATTATCTTCCGAAGACACCTTCTCCTTGGCAATTTGGGAGTCTATAATACGGGCCGCGATGCTGATGCGTGGTTTCACGCGGTTGATGACCCGGCGGTCGAGCTCGAGGGATTCAAGTGGGAGACGCTTGGGTGGTTGACCATTCTTCTGGGCCATGTTTGTGTGCACCTTTGCTGCTAGACGGACGACACCAACCATTTCTTCCGGACCGCAGATGATAACACTCTTACCGGCTGCGCCGGCACGGGCTGTACGACCGGATCGGTGGACGTAGGCGTCTGCTGTGCGAGGGGCGTGGTAGTGGATGACGAAGTCGATTCCCTTGATATCGAGACCACGGGAGGCGACGTCAGTTGCTACTAGGATCGAGCTGGGGTCGGCAGAAGGAGAGGAGAATCGCTCAACGGAGCGGAGACGGGCCTTTTGAGCCATGGAGGAGTGGAGGGCGAGGGCTGGGAGTTGGAGAGCTTGGAGAAATTGGGTGAGTCGGCGGACGGCAGAGATGGAGTTTGTGAAGACCAAGGTGCGGTTCTTGGGGTGGTATAGGAGTAGTGTGTAGAGGTAGAGATCCTTCTCCATCGGTCCACATTCGACAATGCCCTCCTTGAGATTCTCGGCCATCTGCGAGACAGGGTTCACGTCGATGAATTTGGGTTTCTCTTCGCGGAATTGAAGTTTCTTCAGGAGATATTCCATCGACTCTTTCTTGTCCATCAGATCGTCTCCTCTCCACTGTCCTTTCCCTGATAGCTTCTGCTGTAGGTCTCTGTGGAATGTAGCGGAGAAAACCAGAGTCTGTCTCTCTGCCATCGGATTGGTCTTTGCCTCATCAGACTCCTCTTTGTCCTTGACTTCCGGCACGTCCCATGTCTCCACGCGCTCCAAAGCGTCCAGGACTTCTCCCAACTCCTTGAAGTGACCTTGACTGAGCAGTCTATCGGCCTCATCAACAACCAGGAACTTGATCTTTTGCATCTTCTGAATCAAGCCTTGTCCCGTGCTGAGAATCTCCCACACTCTACCAGGCGTACCGATGACGATGTCAGCGCCAGCCAGTAAACGTTGCTGCTTCTGCATCGACAGACCACCGGTCAAAAGAGCAATTCTGGGTTCAGCACCGGGGGTGAGCGAGGCCAGTTGACTGATATGTTTCGACAGCTGATGCGCCAATTCTCTGGTAGGAGACATAATGAGTGCAATCGGATGAGTTGCCTTCTCAGACTTCTCCTCAGACTTCTTTTTGAGGTTCTTCTGCATCCGCTCCAGGTAGTGTTCCAGAATCGGAATTCCAAATGCCAAGGTCTTTCCGGATCCCGTAGACGCCTTTCCGACAACATCATGACCTTCCAGGATTTGTGGTATACATATTTCTTGAACGGACGTTGGGTTCGCAAACTTCATCTTCGAGAGTCCAGTGAGGATTTCTGGCGCCAGGTTGAGAGACTCCCAGGCCGAGACATCCACGCCATCATCCTCCTCTTCCTCTTCTAAAGCTGCGAAGGAGAGCCCTGGCTTGATGTTGTTGTTCTGTTGGTTCTTCGCGTTCTTTTCCTTTTGATCCTTTTTTGCGGGTTTCTCCTTCTGTTCCTTCTTGCCGTCTTTCTTCGCATCCTTCTTGTCCTTCTTGTTTTCCTTCTTCAACTCTTTCTTTGATACCTGGTCCTTGCTTTCCTTCTCTTCAGGGCTTTTGTTCTCGTCCGCAGGAGTCGCATTGTCATTCGGTGTCTCGGCCTCACCGTCGCTAAATCCATCCCAGTCGTCGAAATTGGTTTCCTCCGGCGCTTTCTTTTTCAATATTGATTCTTTCTTCGTACCGGGTTTGGCCTAATCATTGTCAGCCTCTTCGCGCCTTCAACCTTCTGAACGATGACAACAGCCGTACCTTGAATCGAACCTCCCCATTACCGTCGGGTCGCACAATATCGATACCATCAATCTCCTCCAAACCAAAAAATCCACCAGCATCTTCAATGCGATCCGGGAGAGGAACTCCCTTCCAGTTCAGGTCCTCGAGACCGACGTAGCCGTCCCAGGAATCATTCTTGTTCGTCGCATTGCCGGCCTTCTTCTTCTTGTTTGCGTGGGCATTAGGCCCCTTAGAGTCGCGCTGTCGCTTTTGGCCCATGATCGTAACTCGAGTTTCTTTTCCTTGTGTTGCTGCGCTTTAGTGATCGCAGACAATTTTTTCCTAGGCCGTTCGCAAAAAATAAAAAAGCGGCAGAAAGACACACCGCCTTTTGTCCGATCTTATCGATGTCCCAAAATGGAAATAGCAGCACGTGACTTTCTGGACATAAACATACTCTTTAGTTCTTTCTTCACCAGTACTATTTTCATCGTCTACAACGAAACAGGGTACAGCCAACGATACTATTTTGAATCCTACAAGGGAGCCGGAAGAAAAGCAAGACAGTCCAAAACTCTCGTCCACTGACACCTAGTTATACGAGGGTTCTTGCTAATAACACTAGTAGTGAACTCGTTCGAGAAGAGATGCAGTTTATCAAATGATGCGATGAGAACCCGGATGTACTCAAAAGAATAATCCTGAAAGAGATGTAATTATCTTAGACGCCTCATCCCATTCTTTTGTTGCGCTTGCTAACTGGCTTTCCTTGATACTAGCTGGTACGGACGAAATCACGGAATGGTTCTGTTTTCTGTTTCTTCGGGACCCACGGCTCTAAGTAATCCGATGCCTATCATGGCTCTTACGTGACATGATAAGACCACAATCATGATTCATTAGGTGTTTCTTTGTTGCCCTCAGGCAATCATACCTAGACTTTCTTAAATGACCCAGTCCATACCAAACCCGGAAACCGACCTGATACCAGGAATACATCTTTCGGGGCAATATAACTTGCACCGCACGCAATATTTGAACCAGTAAATCACTGTTTGGCACTCATTCGACATTGAGAGTTAGGGTTACACATCATCGGGAAGTGGAGCCGCAAATTTTTCAAGCCCCAATTAATCCAGCGAACAAAAAGACAAGAAAGCAAAAAGATTGACCGACGCAGGGGTCGAACCTGCAATCTCTTGATTCGTAGTCAAGCGCCTTACCATTGGGCCAGCCGGCCTTGTTGAATAGCTTTATATTCCGAGCATTAGTACAAATTCAAATACATTAACTATAGAGCGGATAGCGACGAGGAGAAGCCAGGCTCTTGACACAGAGGCATACATTTCGTTTCTTATATAAAGCAACATTGAAATACTAGTTTTCATGTGCGACAACAATAATTCAGTTATTAGATCTTGCCTCTTCCCTTTCACGTAAAATCTGCCAGAATATCTCAGTATCCTGCACTTTGAACTTCAGTCTCTCCTGGAGCTTGTCAACTATTTGGTCCAGATACGTAAGATGAGGTCTTTCTTGCTCCCATAAAGAAGTCACAATCTCCAATAAAGCGTCCAGCCCCCCCGTAACAACACTGGGATTGTCAGTTGTCTTGACATTGTACTTGGTACACAAATCAGGGATGCTGATAGGTTCAATTGCCATCTTCCCTCTCTCATCCTGGGTAAATACCAATCGGGCCTTTGCTTTTGGGAATTTGGGGTGATAAGATTGTGGTCCACTGGCTGGGATCTCATCAATAATAATGAGGAGCCTCCGGAAGATGGGCAGAAGATGATAGTCTTCAGGACGCCACTGTGACGGCTCAACGGCTCAACGCCAGACAAACAGCGCCAACATATCAAACGATGCCATACAAGCAATACGGGCAAACAAGGGCTTAAACCGCACCACACAAATGCCTATAAAGACCGTTCATCGCCTAGATAGATTTCCTTTTCTTCTTCTTCCCCAGATTCGATATTCTCGTCGTTAGGCTACCTAGTCTACATATGAATATTATTCGTTTTATCTGCTAGTTTCCGAGCCCGTGACAGTATAGGTCTGTGGAGTGCTGGGATTTGGGATCTTTTGAAGGCAGCATGCAGGCCCAGCAGGGCAGCTCTAGCCTCTGCATTTGTCACGGAGCGCGGGTGCTCGCCAGCGGCATAATATTTTTGACTACTTTGACCTGTTTGGATATAGGGCAGGAACCCTTTCGCACAAGGAGCAGCTCTGGGCCGCCTCCTTGCCGCCAGGAGCGGCCATGGCGACTTTGTAGAGTACCATAGCGCTTTAAACATGAGAATGCCCTGCTGACATGCTCATGCAGTCACAGAAAGGAGCCACCCCACTTCTATCACTGCGGTGAGGGCCGCAAAGCAGCAGCAGATCCATGGGGTTGCCAGCCAGTGGCAGACATCCTCAACACAAAGGCAGGATTCACTGCATATGCAGGTTGGCTGGAAAAATCCATTCCTATACAGACATTTGCAGATGCTATTAGACTTCCAAACTCGTCAAGTTCAGGGACCTCCAGGCTCACCTCTGGTTGCCCTCTTCTTCCCCTTTTTTTTTTCGTTTCCTTTTTGTTTGTGTGCCCCTTTTGCTTTCTTGTTTTTCTTTTCAAACCCAATAAGCTCAGTTCACTGGTTGACAGCCGCGAAAGCCCAAGCAGTCCCCCGTTTTCACAGCTGTTAAACAGCAGACTGAGCATCTTGGGTTTTCCTAAGAAAGAAATAAAGGGAGAGGGGAATAGAAAAGGGAAGGAGGAACAAAGGAGAGAGTGGGGGAAAGAGGTAAAGGAGGGAAGCCAGAGGTAAGCCTAATGGTTCCCAGATTTGATGTATTTAGCATCCTAATGGCGTTTGCAGATGGTTGTATAGAAAAGTGATTTTCCCAGCCAATCTGCATATGCGGCGAATCCTGTCTTTTTGGTGAGGATGTCTGCTACCGGTTATTGGCCCCATGGATGTGCCGTTGCTTTGCGACCCTCTCGGCAGAAATAGAAGTGGGAGGGCTCCTTTCTACAGCCATATGAACAGGTCAATAAGGCATCTTCATGTTTAAAGCGCTCATGGTACTCTGAAAAGTCACCATGGCCGCTCCTGGCAGCTAGAAGGCGACCCAGAGCTGGGCGGGGAAGATGGAGCTCCGGTGGCCGTTTCTATAGGCTAATTCCAAGGTCCCTATATCGTTCGGGGGCCTTTTCCGCCCAGAATTGTGCAAAGCATCGCCAGTGCACCCTCTGGGCTGCCTGCTTGGCGGCTGCTATTGAGGCAGGTGGTTGGGGGCCCCCCAGGGGAACCTGGCAGCCCATCTTGGCTTCCTTATCTGCTTCTTCATTTCCTTTGATGCCTGTGTGTCCAGGTACCCATTTCACCTGCACCCTGTCTGGCTGTGTGTTGGGTGTTCTCAGACAGAGAGGCCATGTCTGGGCAGCTTCTTGAAATTGTTTAAAAACTGATTGGCTTGATCCTGTGGGTTGGCCCTGACTTTGCTGTACCGCTTCCAGGTTGTCCAAACAGATGTATAAGTTTGTGGAGTGCTGGGCATTGGGGTCTGTGAGGGCTGCCTGTAGGCCTATCAGAGCCGCTTTGGCCTCTGCATCAAAGACCTCATGGTTGGGGAGCTTTCTGTGTCCACAGAATATCTTGGTTTTGCAACTGCCCCAGTAGCCCACCCAGCCGGCTCCTGCAGCGTTGCTGTCTTTTCCTTTTGATCCATCTGTATAGACGACCATTGACCGTGGTGGGATGGAAGTGAGCCACTTCAGAAAATCCTCCCTGGCCTGCCCTTTATCAATCGCAGTTGGCTGCTCTTTGGGCATCAGATTTGTGTGCCAGGGGCTTGTCAGCAGCGGGTCTATCTGTTCAATGGTGTGAAAGTTTGAAGGGTTGACAGCCCGGAGTAGGCGAGTGTTGATGTGGAAGCTTCTCTGGTGTGTGGCCCGACGGTGTAGAGGATGTCGGGTGTCTAGTTTGTGTACTCTGATTGCCAGTCCACGATGTCTTTGATTGAGGAGTAGTTACATTGGTGGGATGGCTGCTTCCCGGTGCAGTACAGCTGTCGGGATGGTCTTATGGACTGGGAGGACTTTTAACAGTGCACTGCGGAGCACCCCGTCCAGGCAGGCTAGTAGTTTAGCTAGAGGACAGGCAGTTCCGATCTGCCCGTCGTATGTCCCGCACCGGGACCAGGGATTCCCCGCTTCCGCCTCCAAGGAAGCGTGGAAATACCCGACCCTCGACGTAAAATAGAAACACACACACACACACACACACACACACACACACACACACACCACCAACTCTACAGCCTCGAATTCGGCGATTCCTATTTCAAGAAACTACTAATCGCATGCAAAATGGGCAAATCCTCCAAAGACAAGCGCGACGCCTACTACCGTCTCGCCAAAGAACAAAACTGGCGCGCCCGATCCGCCTTCAAACTCATCCAAGTCGACGAACAATTCGACCTCTTCGAACATGAAAACCCCGAGAAAGTGACCCGAGTCGTGGACCTATGTGCTGCCCCGGGCAGTTGGAGTCAAGTGCTGAGTCGGGTGTTGATTAAGGGCGAGAGCTTCGGGCGACGCGCGTGGGTTGAGAAGAAGAGGAAGGAAAAGAGGGCGCTAGAGAGGGCGAAAAATGGAGATGGTGATAATGAGGATGAGGGGGGTGAGGAGGAGGATGAGTCTGCGAAGTTGAAGCCAAGGGAGAATGTCAAGATTGTGTCGATTGATCTTCAGCCCATGGCGCCGCTTGAGGGTATTACTACGATGAAGGCCGATATCACGCATCCGTCTACGATTCCTCTTCTCCTTCGCGCTTTGGACCCGGAAGCCTACGATTCGTCCGATTCGTCTCCGTCTGCTGTGCGACAACCGAGTCCCGTCGATCTTGTTATCTCCGATGGCGCGCCTGACGTGACTGGTCTGCATGATCTGGACATTTACATTCAATCGCAGCTGCTTTACTCGGCGCTCAACCTGGCCCTGGGTGTCCTCCGCCCTGGAGGCAAGTTTGTCGCGAAGATCTTCCGAGGCCGTGATGTCGATCTCCTGTATGCCCAGCTGCGCACCGTCTTCGAGAAAGTGAGCGTCGCCAAGCCGAGAAGTAGTCGCGCGAGCAGTTTGGAAGCATTCGTGGTTTGCGAAGGGTTTATTCCTCCGGCTATCCATGACGAGCTGAAAGGTGTGGACGCATTGAAAAATCCTTATTTCGGCGGTGCCGCAGCACCACAGCCCGTATCGGCAGATGGCAACGTAGGAGTCGAGATGATGGACGAAGACGACGACCCTGACGGCCAAGTACCGACAAGAGAAGCAACAGTCACTGCAACAGATTCCAACCACGGCACACAAACCCGTATGCTCCACGCAGACTCGCATCGCACACGACCCTCCGACGCGAACCAGATCGCCTCGCCAGAGCAAAAGCGATTCGCTATGGAGAACCGGTGGATACCCTTATTCATCGCCTGTGGAGATCTCTCAGCCTGGGACTCGGATGCGTCATATGCCCTGCCTCCCGACCATGTCAGCTTGGATCCGGTCCAACCACCGACGGCACCACCGTACCGACGTGCATTGGAGGTGAGAAAGGCACACGGAGGTGCATATGGGAAGACAAAGCTTGGGGCAGTGGGGAGAGCATGATTGATTATGTGATATGCCACATGTACGTCGTTATGTTTATGAATTCATAAAAGTTGACGGTCTGGGACGGTTCAAAAGTTAGAGTACATAGCAGATACCCTTTGAATATATAAATGCTCGCTAACTATTAATAACTACTCTTCCGTGCATGATTCAGCCAGCCAGCCAGCCAGCCAGCCAGCCAGCCACATATCCCAACTTATTCCGCATGCTAAAGTTCCACCGTAACCTTATCCCGAACAGCCAGTGGTATTGATAAGGACATCCACGATGTGGATAGAAAGACGGAATGCAAGGAGAACTACGTAAGGACAAAAAGCAAGAATGGACAGCTAGCATTCCGAGCCGAGCAAACCCACATAACTATTTAATGCATCTGGTCCTCCGTATCTGTCGCGGGAATGCTTCTCGGCCTCTTTTCAGCTCAGCTCAGCTCGTCCGCCAATCATGACTACCACTACTACCACGACCGCCACTACCACTACAATCAGCACTCTCTGTCAAGAGACGACTCTCGATGACCTGCAAAATGCATTGTCGCAAACTTATCAGGATATTTTGATTAAGAATCAGGCGTTGCTGGTTTCCGTCGCGGAATCGGTGAAGGAATACATGTCGCAATATGACCTATCGCACGACTTTCACCACATCCTTCGTGTTGTAACACTTTCGCGACGAATTCTAGATGCCGAGTGCTCTCACGATGAAAATGGAGGAATCGAATACGATCCATTGGTTGTCTTTTTAAGCGCGTACGAATACACCCCGAAACCATGAATACATACTCCATCTCCATCACCATACACTAACGACCACAGCCTGCTCCACGACATCGGCGACCACAAATACGTCAAAGCAGGCGAAAGCGCCACAGCTCAAATAGCAACCATGCTCTCACAAGCCGGCGCATCACCACAATTAACTACCAAAGTCCAAACAATCGCCAGCAACATCTCCTACACCACTGAAATGAAAGACCGCGCGCGATTACAGAGGATTCTAAACCAACATCGGGAACTGGGTATCGTGCAGGATGCGGATCGGTTAGATGCGATTGGGGCTACGGGGATTGGGCGCGCTTTTGCGTTCGGGGGCGCGAAGAAGCCGGATAATGGGCTGGAGAGCCAGAGGGACCATATTAGTGGGAAGTTGGAGGGATTGGTGGATTTTATGAAGGTATGCGTTCTGCCCTGTGTATGAACCGATTGGGCTGATTATTTGAAGACGGGAACAGGGAAACGTATGGGTGTTGAACGGACGAAGAGGTTGAGGATATTTCAAGAGTGGTGGGATGAGGAGATGAGGTTTGAGTCTTGATTATTTGTTCCTGTTGTGCTTATAGTAGACCAGACCAGGTAAGCGGGTCTCGATTGTTTATTTGATTGTATGATATACAAAGTCAGAAAGCTCTTTTCAACCTCCATCCAGTACACATCCCCCGTGCAAGCACAAACAATACAAAAGCAAGCACATACGCCATTACGTTTAGTCGACTGTACCGATTAGCGAAATAGCCTGGAAGAGCACGGCCGAGGATCGAAGCACTGTTGAGAATCGAGGCGAGTTGGTATGCCAGGGAGGAATCCATGCCGTGAGCGATGGCGTATGAGGGGATGTAAGTCAGTGGAACGAGCAGCGCAAAGTCGACGAGAATAATTGCGACTGACAGGGTGGTGAACGGAATCTCTCGTAACGCCTTGAGGTCTACTCTGGCACCGGCCTTCTTTGGAGGAAGTCTGGTTTTCAGAAGCAAAACGCAGGCTAGACAGAATACCTCCGAGACGAACCCGACTATGCGAATGGCCCAAGGAAACCCGACAGAATCAAGGAGATTCGTGATGATGATGGGGGAAATAATGCCTCCAAAGCCGCCTGCCGTGGTTGCCAATCCGAGTGCTAGACCGCGACGGCAGAAAAAACCAGTGAGTGACGCAGGCGATGCTGGGGGTGATGATCATGGAGGCCGTTGCGCCTCCAAGCAGACTGAAGCCGAGCATAACTTGGTAATACTCTTCGCAAAGGCTGAACATCATGAGTACGAGTACGAGTCCTATGCATCCCGGGATCAGGATATACTTGAGGCCATGGGCATCGAAGATAGGTCCTGAACAATCAATACTATGATCACCATGATTGAAATGGATTGGAACTAACCAATTTGTATGCCCGTAATATAGAGAAAGCAATTGAAAACACCCGAAAAATCCACCCGATGGAGAAATCCGAATAGTCCTTCAGTTGGTTATTGGCCAGCCATGCTTGCAAGACGCCAACCGAATTGAGCAATCCGAAAGAAGGCACCATGCCACACCATGAGCCGAGGACTACACTCCATGCTGCCATCCGCCGTCGGGGAATTCCTCGGGGTTTTCTTCGGTGTCTGAGTTTGTAGGATCATCGTTCATTGATTTGGTCTCATGGGCGGACATTTTAAGATACCAATACAGTTTGAGGAATTGATTGTGATCCAGCGTACTCTGTGCCTCTGTGCATATATTTATAGTCTCTTTTAATAAGTTCCTTGGTAGTTGAATATATCATAGCTAATCCCTGAGACACATAGTCACCACCTGTTCCCTGTTCGGAACCACGGTTCAGTAAGGTTCGGTATATGTAGATCAATAGATCAATTGTAGAGCACTAATTTTATACTCCAATTGAATCACAATATCTATGCAAACTGCTATTAATTCCGTGCTCAGTAAGATGCAGGAAAGAACAGTCATAAAGTACATCATATAGTGAGTCACTGCTGCGGCAAGGCGCTGATTTACGGTTGATCTAACACCGCCGTGACTATTTATTTACCTCTAATAATCCTCGATCTATGAACATGCAATTCCCAATTCCAGACAATCCCTTGATAAGTGAGCATCATGGATCTGTTTAGTCTTCCTACGGAGATATTAGATCTCATCATAGATTTCATTCTCCCCGAGAGTTGGAGCAATAGTCTGCGTGACCCTCCGTGGCTCAATATACGACTCGTGTGCAGTAAGTATAAATATCACCAAGAGAGCCAAAGTCTAATGACAATTAGGAAGACTCGACGCTATACTCTCCCTCCAAGCATTTAAAAAATATGATTTCGATACTTTCGATACTTTCGACAAAAAATTAAGCCGGGGCCGCATGACTTGGTTACTGAGCCAAGTTATGCTCCGAGAGTGGGAAAGCCATGGTAATTGTCCGGTATTTGTTGAACGCCTTATATACGACATAGGAACCCGCACGCGATCAAAAGACACCCGTACACTCCAAACCAGGCTCAATCGCCTCGATTTCGCTTATATCCGATCCGCCTGTGAACTCGCCGTATCGCACCAAGGACCAAGAGCTACATATCTTCGGTGGCGCGGCAGGTCACCTACCGGACCACCCCTGCTCCCGCGACTAGTCTACAGCAAGCTCTCAATGGCAGCTTTTCTGGGGGATAAGGTTGTTGTGTCATCGCTTATTGCCCAGGGCGCTGGTGTGAACGATTGTGACCTTTGGCTTGGTCCCGCTTTGAATGCGGCTGTGCTTGGGGGCCATTTATCTATCGTCAGGCTTCTGCTGAAGCATGGAGCGAATCCAAATGTTATTGGGTACTTGGGATCCCCGATCATAATAGCGGTGAATAGGAGAGATGAGAAGATGGTGCAACTGCTGCTTCAAAACGACAGGACTAATCCGAATCTGACAAAACGGCTGAGCGATGAAAATGCTGTTTATCTGGCCTGCCGTGCAGGGGATACCGCAATAGTCCGTCTTCTTCTCGCCCACCCACGAACCAAGCTCAAAGCGCAAGGAAAGGATCCACCATCCCCTCTGGAAGCTGCACTCTTTGGCGGACACGAAACGATAGCCGAATTGATTCTGAGCCGAAAGGATCTCTGGCACGGTATCATAACATACTCAACGATATGGGATACACAAGATCATGGACGTGCTCGGATGCTACGGTTGCTCTTAGATGCGATGAAGGCTATGCACATTGACTACACGCATGAGTGTAGATGGCTACTACGGACTGCTGTGGAGAATGGTCAGGCGCCCATTGTACAGGTCCTGCTGGAACGTCCTGACAACAATCCTCATTATGGCTCATATACCTTGTACGACGATACGCACTTGTTGGTAGCTACTATGAACGGGTACTATGAAGTGGTTCGTGTTCTGCTCCAGAGACCTGATATACAACCGGATCTGAAGCTCCCGAAGAGCCCCACGCCGCTTCATGCTGCTATAAAAAAGGGCTATGAGCATATTGCTGAGATGCTGTTGTCTCATAATGCCGTCAATAAGAACTTCAAAGATTCCGAGCAACGCACCCCTCTCACAGCAGCCTGCGCATACGGTCAAAGCCACATCACGAGGATGATTCTCAACCATTCAGACATTGAAATCAAATCGAAAGACGACAAAGGACGCACAGCAGCATCATACGCCGCTGAGAACGGAAGCATCGTAGACCTTCAACTCTTACTGGAATACGACAATACCGTCCTAGACGAAGATGAAGAAGGCGACACGCCACTTCTATGGGCAGCAAAGAGTGGCCATGTCGAAACTGTATGGTTTATCCTTGAACGTGGGAGAGCCTTGGATGTGAGTAGGTGGGGTAAGAGTGGTGCTATGTGTTTGGTTTTGGCGGTGCAACGGGGGTTTATATGAGATTGTTGATGATACATTAATAAGTTGGGGTGGATGTTGGAAGATTAGGAGTTGGGTATTATGCACATGCGCTGGATACGCATAGAGGTAAAATAAGCATTGTCAACATTTCATTACTTCAGTTTCAAGTAGCATGATTAAATACTCATCAAGTGTAGTTGGACCGATTTGGGATTCAATACCATAAGCAATGGTAGTCAAATTGCTATACCATCATAGTTTAAATCACACTCATAATAAGATACAGTCATGCTATACTATTTTTATGCCGGTTAGGCAGGTATGACACTTATGTACATCCACCTTTTAACACTTTTTTCATCTACAAACTAACGTCCAAAATGGAGAGTCTTATGGCTCTCCCTACAGAAGCCCCAAGACTCATAATATACGCAACCCTTCCAGAATACTGGAACGATGCCCAGTCTGCCTCCTGGTTGAATATAAAACGCATCTGCAATAAGTACTACCCATCTAAAATCCGCAAACCAAACATTAACCACATTGAACAGAAAGATTCGAAGATCTATACTCCTGTCGAGTCTTTAAACAATTCGAAGCAAATGGTATCTGCGTACCACCCAGCCTGGTAAACAAAGACTGCGTGATCCAGATCTTTACCCGAATACTACAGCGAGAGGTAAACGCCCACGGAAAAGACCCAGCATTTATCGACCAATTACTTTACGACAAGGGTATTCGCCCTGATAGCTACCGCACAGGGCAAACAGCGCTACTGGCGTTGCTAGTTCGTACATCCAGGCTGCCTGCGAACTTTATCTGTCACATGAGAGAATGAGCCGCGCATGTTGGGAAATCTCAAAACTGCGCAAGAAGCAAGGCACAACGCCTGTATTTCCGAGCAAGCTCTCTCTAGCAGCATATTTGGGTGATGAAACTGCAGTGGTGTTTTTGGTCGCTCAGGGCGCTGATGTGAACGCTAATGACGAATGGCTTGGTCCTCCGTTGAATGCAGCCGTGTACGGCGGGCATTTGTTTATTGTCCAATTTCTACTGAGCCATAAAGCTGATATCAAATTCCGTGTTTACCAAGGCAGTCCGCTTACGATAGCAGCACACAAGACAAACGAATGGTGCGACTACTTCTTGAAAATGACGAAATTGACCCGGACAGAACGCAAAAGGATCCAGCCAAGAATGCTCTGTACGTGGCCTGCAGGTCAGGAGATATCGATATAGTACGCCTCCTCCTCAGCCACAAATGTGTCAGACTCAGTCCACGTCGAACACTTTGGTATTCGCCCTTAGAAGGCGCTCTCGTGGGTGGCCATGAAACGATAGCCCATTTACTCCTACGACGACAATGACGCCGGGCACGCGGTAACAGATAGATCCCTACGTCTCGCAGCACATCCAAACAGGGCCCTAATCCTACAACTATCCCTGGACAGACTTCAAGATGACAATATACACAAATATCACCCCATGGCCAGAAGCATGCTCCACTGGGCTGCTGAATTCGGCCGCGTCTCTGCCGCAGAGGTACTACTAGAACGCCCAGATGTCAGGCCCAATCCTCGCCCGGGCAACGATACCTCCCGCACAGCTTTATACTTGGCCACCATCAACGGCCACCCACGCAATCGTCCGCCTCCTTCTCCAGCGACACGATATAAAACCAAACCTGAGATACTCGGGCCAAACGCCCCTCCACGCAGCCATATTCTACGGCCACGTGTCCATAGTCCAATTACTACTCGAGCACAAGGCCGTTGGTCGAAACGCCAAAGATGGCTACCACCGCACACCCCTCTCAGCAGCTATCTGGCGCGGACGCGCCAAAATAGCATGCTTAATTCTCCAGCAGCCAGGTATTGATATTACGTGGATAGATTGCCAAGGCCGCACGGCGGCTTCATATGCCGCGCAAAGAGGGTATCTGGGTATTCTCAGGGCACTATACAAACGCGACGGCACGGTGCTTGATAATGTAGATAAGCATGGCCGGACGCTTCTTATATGGACTGCGAGGAATGGATATGCTCAGACTGTGCGGTTTAACCTTGAGCACCGGGGGAGTGTTTTGAATAGGCAGGATAAGTTTGGGTACACGGAGTTGATTATGGTTGTGAGGAAGGGGCGGTTGGCGGTTGTTAGGGTTTTGTTGGGGTTTGGGGCGGGTGTGAGGTTGAGGGATAAGGATGAGAGGACGGCGCTTTGGTTTGCGAGGGAGAGTAAGTATCGGAATCGGGATATTGAGAAGGTCTTGGAAGAAACGATGGGATTGAACCCAGAATAGGTATTGAAGATATCTAGCTCTAATAACATTTTGGAAGATCATCATAAACACGTAAAAGAGAATGATCTATCATAACAGGCATAAAAAGAGCGCTCAAATCATGCATATCATATATAAACACTTTTCCTCATCAACAACAAGGCCACTAGTAAACCTCAAGAACGTAACGCTCCTCATCCTTCAACTTCTCAATCTCCTTGCGAGTCTCCACCTTCTTGCCATTGTTCTTCGCCTCGGCGGCAATAGCCTCCTCCAGCACGGCGGTGACATCAGGCACAGGCCAGGTGGGACCGCAGAGGTAGAATGCACCCTCTTCGCGGATGTAGGCCTGCATGATCTCAGGCAAGCTTTGGCGCATGCGGTCCTGGATGTAGATCTTCTCCGGCTGGTCACGGGAGAATGCACGGCCGAGGAGCGTGATCACACCGGCTTCCTGGTAGGCTTCCCATTCCTCACCGTAGCAGTACTCCTCACGCTGGTGACGAGAGCCCATGTACAGCAGGACAGCGCCGATCTCCTTACCCTGTGCCTTCTCGAGGGCACGGTGCTGCACGAAGGCGCGGAAGGGAGCGAGACCAGTTCCCAGACCAGCCATGATGAGCGGCTGGGTGGACTTGGGAGGCAGCTTCATGACACTGGACTTGACCGAGACGGTGACGGGAGTGCCGGGGCGGAGGCGGCTCATGTAGCGGGTGGCCATACCGAAGCGGTCGCGGCCGTTGGGGTCGGCCCAGTTGACGGCAACGATCATCAAGGCGACAGAGTTGGGAGTGACCTTCTGGCACGAGGCGATGGAGTACTCACGGCGCTTGGAGGGGCCGATGATGCGGATGAGGTCGTGGAAGGCCGGGCGGGCGGAGTCGTACTCGAGCAGGATGTCCGCGTAGGTGACGGTGTCGACTTCGGCGCGGCGCTTGAATTCCGTGTTGCCCTCGGGGCCGCCCAGGGTGAGGAGGTCCTTCTTCTGGTTCTCGTCGGTGGCGAACTCGGCGAGGGCTTCGTAGAAGCGCTTGGGCGGGCGACCGTAGAGGTCGATGTTCTGGATGAGGGCCTGGTAGACGGTGCGGTTCTCGAGAACGGCGGGGTCCTCGCGGCTGGGGACTTCGACGACGTTTTCGGGGACGAGGCCGTAGTACTGGATGAAGTCCTCGACTTCCTTGGGGTCGTTCTCGGCGTGCACACCCAGGGCCTCACCGATGTCGTACTTCAGACCGGAGTCACCAAGATCGAACTCGATGTGGAAGATGTTACGGTCGTAGGTGACAGGGGTGAGACGACGGTTCTCCTTGACATGGACGGTGAAGGTCTTGGTAGGCTGATCAGGGCGGAGAGCAGGCTTCGCGTTGTAGGCCTCCTTGAAGGACAGACCCATGGCAACGGTCTGCCAGTCCCTGAGGAGAGTGGGAGGCTCGTGGTCATTCTTGTCGAAGGCCACGAAGCTGTTGGCAGAGAGGTCCTTGGGGAGCTCAGGGGCCTCGGTGCCCTCCTCGGGGGTCTTCCAGGCCTCGGGGATTTCGACCTCGCGGAGCTGCTTCTCGAGCTCCTTGGTGACGTTCTCGACGGCTTCGGTGTTGCCAAGCTTCTTGACAACTCCCTCCTGGCCAGCAACGCGCAGGAAAGCAGTCTGCAGGACAAGGGGCTGCTGAGCAGCCTCGACCTCAGAGGGGTCGACAAGGTGGAGGGAGATACCACGGAGGGCAACGGCCTGTCTGAAGGTGACAGGGAGCTTCTTCTCGAGCTCATCGTCCTTGACACCGGGAGCGTTGACAATGAGCTTGCCGTTGTCCTTGACGGAAGCAAGGACGTCAAGGTCACCCAGGAGCTTGACATCGCCAACGTAAGCGACATCAGCAGCAGTCACGGCGTAAGGAGCGTCCAAAGTCTTAGCACTCTTGCGGATGTCCACGCGGATGGCACCGCCTTGGACCAAGTTGTCGTGGGTCTGGCTGGTTGTAACATTGCTGGACGAGTCAGACGCAAGAGCCTCCGAGAGGACAGTAGCGGCATCAACGCAAGCAGAGCTGTCAACATCCCAGAAGGTGTACTCCTGGACGGTGGCGGGGTCAAACAGCTGCAGAGCGGCCTGGTTCTCAGACTGGACAATAGGCTTCTCGTGGACGAGCTGGAAAGCGGCAGTGGTGTTGATCAAGCCCCAGGTCTGGGAGCGGGGGTATTTGATGTCGATGCAAGAGGGAGTCTGTTCACGGCCGGCGAAGGTCAATGCCGCGAGAACGTCCTCGTAGAGAGCGGAACGAACGCTTGATTCCTGAACAGCCTGCTCGTTGGCAACCTGGCCAAGAACACCAACGGTCTTGACGGACTGGGGAAGGACGCGCAGGAATTCTTCCTCGACGAATGGGCGGTAGACACGGACGTTGATCACACCAACACAGACACCATCCTTGGCGAGCGAGCGGGCGATCTGAGCAGTGAGAGTAGCCTCGACAGTACCAAAAGCAACCAGGACGGAGACAGGCTCAGCGTGGCCGTGGTACTCGAAGAGACCGTAGTCGGTGCCGAGCTCACCGTTCAGGGACTGGAGGAGCTGGAGCAGCTTGCCCTGAGCGTCGAGGTGACGGCTACGAGGGTCCTCAAGAGTGTTCCGGACGGCCTCGTATGTGTTCGAGAGACCGGACTGGCCAAGGACATCGATAACCCGGGTGGTCTCACGACCAACGCGGACACCGTCGTAGATGTGGATCGAGGGGAGGACGGAAGCGAGCAGAGTTGTAAGCAGAGCCATGTGCTGAGCCTCATGAGCAGAGGCGCTCGAGACCAAACCAAGTCCCAGCTCCTCAGCAAGAGAGAGAGCAGAGGCATAGTCTGAAACCAACCCCTCCTCACCGGCGTAGTCGACAGCTGCCACATGAGCCGCAACAGGGCTAGCCACCGAATACAACAACGACAGCTGCTCCAAAGCAGCGCGCATGTATGGCAGAGTAGCCGACGACGCGACAATACCCTGCGGGACGTGGCGCTTCTTCAAATCGAAGTCCTGCGAGAAGAGGTATCCCAGAGCAATGTTACCGGCACCCTGGCGGGTCTCCATGGACTTGACAGCGGTGGTCTCGCCATTGGCGTTGGCTTCCTGGACAGCGGCCCATTCCTTCAGCGCGGCATCGAGGTCGAAGGTCTCGGGGGAGTAGGTGAAGATCTTGTCGCTGAGCGAGTAGGCAACTTGCTGGACCAGCGACTGCGCGGTCACATAGGTAGGGCCACTGAGGGCCGACAGGGCTGGAGATGCAGAGCCCATTGTGTGAGGAATGATTGTCAGGGTATCGGACACACAACCGATACCTTAAGGATTATATATGACAAGACGGGGAATGGCAATTGGCGACGGGGAATGGAGGAGGGGAAGAAAGAGTCAAATCCCGTATAGAAAAATTTCCCCAGGGCTTTTCCCAAAGCGGTTAGCGTAAATCACGCAATTCGTTATCGATAGCGTGACGGGGCGGAATCTCCCGGCAGAATCCTCCGCTTTCGGCCGATCTCCGCATTACTCAGCGCACGTGAGAGGCGAATCTGTTACTGCCTCAGGATGCAAAAAGTTCCCCAATCGAGAGTAGTGTGATTTCTGCCATCAGCAACGTCATCTTGGCACCAGCAGCCACTGGACATAGCACTCTCGCTCTAATCTATCGCGCTTCCATACCTCACCAAAGTCACAACTATCATTGGATCCTTCACCCTTCAACTATGGCTAACGTCGCTCTCCTCGGAAGCACCGGGATGGTGGTAAGTTTATCCCCCTTTCTGCCCCCTATCGACGGAATCATAATGTCATCTCATTATAACATGGATCGCTAACCAAGGGACAAGGGAACCCACATCCTAAACAGTTTGCTCGCCAATACGTCCGTCGCCCGTATCGACACCATCTCCCGCCGTACTCCTCAAGCCGCCAGTTCCGCGCCGCAGACTAAGCTCACTACTTTCGTCGCGGATGATACTTCGAAATGGGCACCGCAGTTCTCTGCGCTATCCCCGGTGCCTAGTATGTTTATTTCTTCGTTCGCGACGACGAAGGCTGCGGCTGGGGGATTTGAGAATCAGCACAAGATTGAGCATGGGTTGAACGTTGAGATGGCGCGTGCCGCGCGTGATGCTGGTACGAAGGTGTATGTCCTGGTTTCGTCGACCGGTGCCAATAAGACCTCTTCGATCCCGTACACGCGTATGAAGGGTGAGATTGAGGAAGATGTCAAAGCGTTGGGATTCGAGAGGACGGTTATCCTGCGCCCGGGTCTTATTGCTGGCCAGCGGGATGAGAGTAGGCCGATGGAGGCAGTGATTCGTTTCGTTGCTGGTACTGCCGGGAAGCTTTACTCGGGCTTGAAGGACCCCTGGGCTCAGGAGGCGGATGTCATCGGTGAGGCTGCTGTGAATGCTGGTCTGAAGGCATTGGAAGGTGATGTCCCGGCTGGTAGTGAGAAGGTGTGGGTTCTCTATGGTAGTGACATTATCAAGTATGGCAAGAAGCAGTAATCATGGTGCTTTGACGGATATGTTTTCGTTCCTGTTTACGATTCTAATGTCTAGTATACTAATAGTATAATTCTTTGTTATGAACTCTTTAACAAACATTCTGCGCTATAATACACATTATACATCCAGCACCACCCATCTCCCCCACAAACAAAACAATCTATTTCGACGGTCTAGTCTTAACCTTATGACCCTTCGGCGTAAACCCCCTCGTACTATGCCCCTCCCTATCCGCATTCCGATCCGCCATTCCCTCCCTCGGATCCCGCGACTGATTCACCTCCTGATTCGCACCACTCACATCCAACGGATTCGCCGGTGCCCCCTCCGCCTGTGTCTCCTCCTCCATCTCCTCCATCTCGCTCTCCGGTGACGTCCGGTTAGGATCATACGCCGCGCCGTGCTGCGCGACTTCGCTGTCTGTACCGGACTTTGTGCCCTCGTTGCGCTTGGGGTTCAGCACTGTGCGGTCAAAGTCTTCGCTGCGACTGAAGCCGGCGTCTTTCTTGGTTGTTTGGAGGGCGGGGTGGGTGCTGAATTGGACTGTTGCCCTTGCGGCTGGGGTGGGTTGTACTAGAGGTGTTCGCAGCTGGGGTAGGGGGCGTTGCACTACCCGACTGGCAGATTGGGCTTGTTGGCTGATGGATGCGAGTCTTTTGAACATGTTGGTTATTTCGGATAGCACAGAGATGACGGTTGACTCGACGATACGACTTGTCCTCGTACAAAGATCTGGTTCACTTGCGAACAAAGTATATATAAGTCCGGGCTGGAATTGTTAGCAGGGGACAATGGCATATGACCACCAACATTTACCTTGACTTTTATATTATTATCTGCTATGAAACAGCGAGAGTGATACAGGGTAAAGATGAGTTTAAGCAGGGAAAAGAACTGAAGACAAGAGTTGGTCGCATTTGAATGCTACAATCATCTTGACGTCATTGCTCCAGACCAAGTCCAAACTTGCTTTTTGTCACGTGATATCGACGCAACCCTAGAAAAGTACCTGGTTGCTATTTCCGAGTCGTGCATTAAGTACGCTTTTCACAGAGTCGAAATAATGACTTATGGTATCCTCTAAATGATGTATATACGTATATGACCGGGGTGGCCACTCTGTATTTCAGCTCTCCGTCCACATTGACTCATTGAGAATCGGACAGTACTGAACATAAAATTATGCGGAGACAGCAATAATCTCATCGAGTCTATGCAATAAACATACACAATATCCGTAGTACAACAGCCCAATAATAGCTCATGCGGCGCAGCCATATGCATAAGAAATGTGACGACGATGCAGAAATCCTCGCCATCCATACACACATTTCTTTTTCTCACTTTCCGTGCGAGATTCCGGCCAAGACCAAACCATCGCATCGAGTCAGAGCGTCCAGCATAAGGCGTTGCAATCCGGCCTGAAGAGTGGGGAGCCTTGCAGATGTCGGAGATGCAGATCGGAAAGTCCGTCCTACAGCACCCTCCTGTTTCTGTTTGCAAATGGCCAGCCCCCCCCCCCCGTGTCGGGGTCTAGAAAGCGGTTGACATGGGGGATGCATTAGTGCGGACGCTAGGTGGGATTGATTGGGTGTCAATGTAAGATAGAGATTTAGTCTATGTACAGTGGTGGACCAATCCGGTTGCGTTGGATTGGTTTTGTAGAAATGCACTTTTTGACCTGGAAGTTCGAAGAAGGAGATACACGCTTTAATTTGTCGCTGAGATAAGTATGTGTCGGGAGCTACGGTGACTTTATGATCACGGGAGTTCGAGGAACCCAGCAGTATGGAGCGTATGCGGGTACGCGAATCCAAAATTAACGTTGGAGTGGATGGTCTAGAATAACATTTTTCAGTAAGAGGGTAGGCTGTTGGCAACCAGACTAGGTCGGCAATCTTCAGTGCGTATAGGAAGGGTGGCATTACTGCTCGAACTGAAATTCTCCGACGCCGCATCCCCTGGTAACGACTCAGTCTGATCCTTGTTCAGTACCATCGCTACAACAGAAGGCGTCCTGAGCCCATCCACATAGTGACCACCCAAATACGAAGGCAAGTTTACCAATCGAGTAGGAGACAAGGCATTGACTGATCATCTGTGCCACGGCAATTACGGTTGGTCGAGTCCTCATTTCTCCTCCCGGATGCAAGCCGATACCAGAGACCGCTGAGTTGGCAATCGTATCCTACCATGGCTCGCTACTTGACTTCTCTGTGATTGTCGACAACTCGGTCCGGCCGTAGCCTTGCATCGTATCAGGATGCGAGGCCCAAGTTCACAGGGGGGCCGTGAAAATAAAATAAAATAGGAAGAAAAGACATCCGGACAAGCGGACAAGCGGATAAGCGGATGTCCAGTTTTGGATCAATCCGTTAACGTCAGGTCGAAGCAATTCGGAAGCCTCCAGAAGACAGCCAATTGTCAACTCATCTCGCTTCTCAAAAACGTAATGCACGTTCCCCGAATGAAGTCTCGAAATTGCGCATTGTGATGTGATGATTTTCAGCTCGACGTAACCATCGCCTATCAATAACCAGAACCAAAGATCGATGACCAGACGAAAGATGCCACGTCAGAAAGACTCGGGGTTTTAGTGTAGCCGCATGTACTCCAACCGAGGCGAACTGTGTGACGGTCTCAATTTCTGTCATGTAGATGCACAGCAATCGTCTCCTATCGCCCGAGCCGAGAACCGCGACTAAACAAGAGGCAAACCCTGCATCTGAGCGGGGGCGAATGCGGGATTATTCCTCTCTGCAGAGGTGAGAGATCAGCTGAATGACATGCGTCCGGATGGGATGTTGTTTTCATCACATCATTGCAGATGGTGGTGGCCCAGAGATGCAAAGGATACCAATCGAAATCCTCTAGTGACGCATCCCCGCCACCTGGGAAATAGACGGTTGGTGGATATTGATCGAGAAAGGCTTTGAATGCGCGAGACGGATATGCAGGAAGCGTGCATCCTATTCATTGAAACTGGGAGTGAGGGTCGGATCCTTGCCTATGGTAGGATTACGGTCCAATGCTGAGACCCAATGCCAGACGACTGTCCGTCTCCACAGTTTATTGAAGGCGACGGCAAAGTGGGGATAGAGAAAAGAGAAAGAATAAAAGAGAAAAAGCAATGGATAGGGAACGTGCGTAGATCCCGGTGGAGCTCAATCACCCTTGGATGCCTGACCCAAACAATGGACACAGCATCACTGGGTCCAGATTGATTGGTTTGCCCACGAGTAATTGCATGAAGGCGGGAGAGACAGCATCGATATCCAAAACAAGAAACTATGGAAAGAATGCAAAGACAGGCTTCTCGGATGCAAGGTTGCCCCTGGCCGGAAGTCTCTAATGTGTAAGACAGCATGACAGCTGGCATCAGAAACCCAATGATGCATAATCTGTGGTTCAGTAAGTGGATATGGGAATTCATGCAAAGTGCAAGCAGATGGACAAGAGGGGGAAAACAGTCCAATGTCCAAGGCAGCAGCAGTTTGATCCCAAGGGTGCCAGAGCAATTCTGGCGAATGAGAAAATTTCCAGACCTTCAATACACATTTTCGAGACAGCAATTACCACAACAGCCAGGGTAGCAGGATACATGCAGCTACATTTCGACCAGTGATTGATGCAGCCCCAAGAGAAATGCCGTGAAAATCTTGTGTCTCCACCATCCGAGTACATGGTGGCCAACCGTGCGGAGTATCTCGGAGAAGTGATGCGAAATATTGTGATGAGGCATGGACAATAAGCATCACGCATGGAGGCCATTGATCAGCAGCGTGCGGGCAGAGATGTCGACATGAGAGCCTCCTGTAAGAACATAAATAGAGTCCTTGAGACTCCCAGAACCAGAGCTTCAATCGCATCCACTTTCAGACTTATCCATCTTTGAGTCCATTACAGGATAGGAGATCCTTTCACATATCAAGAAGTGTTTCGGTTTTATTCCAAGCTGCAAGCTTCAACAGACCTTCAAGCTTAGCCAACCGATTCATCCAACGATCCGGCTGTCAGGGCCAACCAACAGCACACAAAACAAACTCTGAAACGACGACACTGCATCGACAAGAAGTAAGTTGAGCCGAGGACCGCTACAGGACATCATTGACCGACCCCTTAGTCATGTGCTTTTACAACCAGAAGAGATTTGTGTGTGGGGACTTCAGTTGGACGAGCTTTGCCCACCAGTGCAACTATGAATATCGAACCGGCGAGACGTGCGGCATGAAGCTCGTGAATAAGACCGAGAATGTGAAGACACTATGCCGCATCTGCGAGAGGATCGAAATCAAATATCGTCGGCGAAGCGCCGAGTATGAACGGGTGCAGCGATGGAGACGCGATGGAGGTACGCTGGTGGCCTCCATCGAGAAGTCGCAAGACATGATACGGTTGCTGGACCAAGAAATCTTGAAACTTCAGAAAGAGCGGGAGGACAAAAGCAGAGCGCTGTGAACCGAACATCTCAGCCGTCTGTCCAGTCGTCGATTTTGCTCCTGTTCCGTTTAATTTCCCGTTTTCTTTTTCTTGAGCGCTATTCCCCCCTTTGGCGAGTTTTCTTGCAGCATGTTTCTTGTATTTGTCACCATGTGTCGTGTTTCACCATATGCATTTCTGTCCCTTGGTCCGTGGTTTGCGGCAATATGTCAGGATTGACAGGCCCTAATATAATGATTGGAGGAAAAGTGTTGATTTCATTCGAAACCGGTCTCATAAAAAGCAATCTCAATCGAAGTTCCTATTCTTGGAAAAGAACGAACCATTGTAAATCATTGCAATTCGAAAAGGTCCACATCATAAGCGCTTGTATTCTGGACGAGCGGTTCGGTACAGAACAACGATAATACGGAGGCATAAAGGGGGATATTCGTATATAATTGGAATGCCATTCATAGACAATACGGAATCAATTGAGACAGATATTGAATAACGCTGAATATGCCAATGTCTAATCCATGAACTGTGTGCGGTAGACTCGACGTTGGAAGCCGCGATATAGAGGATCCGTCACATGATACTTCCACATTGGGTTAGTATAATATGCGATCACGTGTAGTTACTGGGGCTGGAAATCTACGGGTTGGATGTACAATAAAGACGTCTCAATAGCATGACTTAGTATCATATTCATTCATTCATGGAATGCAATATCCCTAAATATCATCTAATAGCGGGACCAGAATCTTTCGAGTACAAATCTCAGGTAACAGGATGGAATTAACTGCTCAAACATAGCCGACGGAAAGAGGACAAGCGTTCACTTTATTTTATTTCACCAGCCTCGGGCTCGTCATCAACCTTAGCCAGCCCGTGCTCCCTTAGGAGACCGTTGATCTCGTCTGCGTTCCACAGATGGTGGAAGATCTTCCCATCCTTGGTCTTTCCAACTGTTGCGAATTCGACTGTAGAGACCACCCGTCAGTATATTGCCAACTTGAATTCATTATCATGCGTGTCCACTTACTCTTCTCGCTGCTCAGTTTGCTCGAGTCCATAGTCTTGCTCAGAACCTTAACAGCCATAGCACAAGCCTCCTTCAGATCACAGCCCTCCTTATAGTCCTGCTTCAGAAGACTCTGCGCACTTGCGTTGTTGGCTCCCACACTCGTAGCTTTCCATCCACCGTAGTTACCACTGGGGTTGCTCTGGTATAGCTGGAACTGTTGCTGGTGGTCGTATCCGGCGTAGATGAACGACACACCGAACGGACGGAGACCACCGTGTTGAGTATAACCTTGCTTGAGATCACACATGCGACGGACGAGCTGTTCGCAGGGGATTTCTTCGTTGTAGGTGAGGAGGTAGCGCTGGGCGGCCTGGCGAGCGTAGTTGATAAGGATGTTGGCGTCTGCAGTCATACCGGCAACGGCACAGATCATGTTACTATTATGTATTAGCACCAACGCCCAACTGAATATTTCGTTTCCTTCCCTGGGAAAGGAGATATATCGTACTCGTTCAAAACGTAGAGCTTCTCTGCCGATGTATCCTGCTCCAACAGCTTGCTGGTCACCTTCTTCTCGGCAGCAAGGACGATGCCATCGTTGGCAAGAATTCCTAGTGCGGTACCGGCGTGGGAAATAGCTTCCAGCGCATATTCGACCTGATAGAGTCGTCCTTCAGGGGAGAAGATGGTGGTCTAGCGAACAAAAGACACCTGGTTAGCGGGAGCTCCCCATCTGACGAAATGGCGGGATGAACGTACTCTGGAATCGTATCTCCGCGACATTTTGGATTATCTGTCAAGAGGAAGAAGAATAAAGCAAAAGAAATAGTCTCGTTAGAAATGGAGGAAGAAAAGAGCAGGATTGAAGGATGGCAAGTATCGTGGAGGAGAATGGGCACCAAACAGCTGAGGCCGATGATGAGGTCGGTGGTGAGCTCCCAGTAGGCAATTCGCGTCCGCCGTTCTCCGCCAAGCTCGGACCAACCACCAAAAGCCCGTAAGCTTCTGATCGCGACAGACAACAACTTACCAGCTCATGATGCGATTCTGGAATTATTAGCATTTTATTCTTCAATTATCTTGTTATCCGGTCATAAAATGCTCAAATCGACCTACACGGCGCCTCCTCCACTACCGCCAGGGTGGACGGAACACAAGGCCCCTTCAGGTTGGTCGCGATTGATTGCTGTGATAATTCGCTTTGATTGCTAACGTATCGCCAGGTCATCTGTATTACTATAATTCTCAAACGAAACAATCAACCTATACGCGGCCGCAACCGCTTCCCACTCCATCGCAACCAACCGCAACAGAAACCGCACCACTTCTCACACCGGATACATTACCACCGTTCTCGTCCACACCATACGCTCCGCAGGGGTTTGGAATTGGGGGTGGATTCCCGGGATCTCACCATCATCCTCACCAAGGTCAGACTAGGGGAGGCTTCCGGGGCGGGAAATCATACCAAAACCGCAGATCTCGGGGGCCAGAGGACAGACCAAAGTCGAAACATGCTTTACCCGGATGCGAGCCGTGGGTATTGGTGAAAACTAAGCTTAAGAGGAGATTTGTTTATAATACGGAGACCAACGAAAGTTTCTGGAAATTCCCTCAAGAGATCCTCAAGGGAGTCATCGAGTACGATCGCATCGAAAGAGAGAAGAAAGAACGCAGAGAACGCGGTGAAGTGAGCGAAGAACCAGAGACGCAAGAACCGGAAGCCGTTCCTGAAAAACCCGAACCCGAACCAGTCGCATGTGCGGCTCCTGTGGAGGCCGGAGAAGAGAGCGATGACTATGAAGAGGTGGAAGTCACAGACGATGAGGAAGATGAGGACCAACCGTCGAAACGAGCGAAGACGGAGGATGATCAACCAGTCGAATTTACCGAAGAAGATATTGAGTACCAGCTCACCGCCATGGGTGAAGAATACGGGCTCGACCCTGGCGAATACGGCGAGCCAGGCGAGGAAGGCTGGGAAGAAGGTGCCGAAGGCCTCCCGCTGTCAGACGAGGATGCTGCAGCGCTCTTCCGTGACCTGCTAGATGATTTCCGCATCAATCCTTATTCACCATGGGAGAATATTATCGAAGAAGGTCGCATCATAGACGACAGCAGATACACCGTGCTACCGAATATGAAATCCCGACGCGAGGTATGGTCAGATTGGAGCCGTGACCGCATCCAAGATCTCAAGGAATGCAAACAAAAACAAGAAAAGCAAGACCCCCGCATCAAATACTTGACTTTCCTCCAGGAGCGTGCTACTCCTAGGCTGTACTGGCCGGAATTCAAGCGCAAGTACAGAAAGGAGTCTGAAATGAAGGACACACATTTATCTGATAGAGACCGGGAGAAGTTCTACCGCGAGCATATATCACGACTGAAGCTTCCCGAGAGCACAAGAAAATCAGATCTTTCTGCTCTGCTCAAATCTGTTCCTTTGCAATCACTGAATCACTCATCGACCATCCATGCTCTTCCCTCCACTATCATCACCGATATCCGCTACATTTCACTCAGCCCTCAAGTGCGCGATCTGCTGATTGAAACATACATCTCTACTTTGCCAGCAGCACCGGAGCAGGAACATATAAGCGCAGAGCAGCAAGAAGAGCTCGATAGGAAGAGAGCTGACCGGGAGAAGCGTGAAAAGGCCCTTGTGGAACGTGAGAAACGGGTTGAAGAAGAGAAACAGAAGCAACGTGGCGACCTTTCCCGTGGCAAGCACCTTCTCAAAGAAGGTGAAGCTGAGATTCAAGAGGCCATGCGTGTCAGAAAAGATGGGCTTCGGAGTTATATCGAAGCTGGAGACAGGACCCGAGAAGGTGCAGGAGAGGATGTGGAAAAGCCAACATGATAGTTTGGGCTCTGGGCTAGATCGACAATGGCAGATAGCTATGGGATACGGACAATGTATATTTATGTTGAAAGTTGTAATCTACATCATAATCATCTGTCCAGGAAAACCAATAGATTTCTGACTATGTGATTGGCTATTAAAGAGTGTACATCTCACCTTTCATGCACTGCTAACATGACCACGAGCGATCTTCATTATCTCTCCGATTGCCAGTATGACATTGCATCGGTTTTTCCAAAGATATCATCAGCTTCAGTGTTTGCGCCTTCTTTCAGCCTTCTGGTAAACTCGGGTGGATTGCACGGCAAGGCTATCATCAGTGACCCAAAGAACGATTGATCGAGGGGATCAGATATTGCAGAAATAAAACAGACAAGTGTGAAGCCTTGGGACTCGAATAGAAGATTCCTTAGTGACCAAATGGTCATAGACATCCGATTTCTCCCCTGGACTTCAGCGATCTTGTGTAGATTGTCGATAACGATAACAACCGTTTTCTCTTTCGAATGCCCAGCCCTGAGAAGCTTAATCACCATACTGGGGCTTGGTGCATCCCACCCAGCGTTAATATCGTCGAGGTTAATGTTTCCGTTCTTCTGTAGGAGCTGGAGAAGCATTCGAGAACCGATGGCCCTCCAGGGACACTCGTCTTTTCGAAAGTCCTTAAGGCTCACGTGGAATACGAATGCGTTATTGATTTGAGTGGCCAGTTATGCATTTTTTTTTTTTTTTTAATAGAACGACCCATCAAAGCATTTCCGTGTGATGTTGCTGAGTTCGGATGTGTTCCTTGACTTTCCCGTCTTAGGACCCGACAAGAACATGTAGAGAGACATGGTGGTCTTATCAAAAAATCACTCTGTGTAGTTCCAGTAGTAGTTTGCCACAGAGTAACGCAAATCCAATTTGAGCTCCGGGAATACCTGGTATTCGGGTTGTGTTTCGGTCGAATTCAGAAGAGCATCCGGCGCCGGTGATCGATAAGGTAGTCTTCTGCCTTTGAATCCAACCAATAATGAGCAGCATTTGGTGAGGTCTAAGTGTCCGTATCTAGACCCTCAGCAGAAAATATATAGCTGATATCCTTCTGTACCGATTTCCGTGGTTTCTCGAAAACGACAATATCAACCTCCGGGTCGCCCGACTTGGGATCATCAGATACAGGCCATCTTGGAACAAGCCAAGTATCAGTCTCCCTTGGGACAAAAGCAAAGCATTTGTCCAGTACAGCTCGCGTCACACAGATTAGGGTCACCTGACTGGCTGGTGAATTGGTTGCCTACAAATACGGGCTACTTTCTCCCCCAGCTAGTTAGTTACTTGATTCACTCAAAGCCAGGAGACTCGTTAATTGACGTAGCGGTTTACACTAAGTTTGACGAGGCCTATAAGACGGAGAAGGACCCGATTAAGAAGTATACGACAGATGTTTTCTGGAAAAGAGGTAGCTTTTCTTCAAATTTCTACTCATTCTCATGAGGATTCTTTACTGATGACACAGGGCTGCCATATCATCCACCAAATCTTGATTTACTAGTGAACACCGCTGGTAGGTACTGGGACTATCAGGCATCACAGGAGCTGACTAGGGCTCTTTATGATGAAGTCAAAACACACTACTATAGCTTTGAAAACAGTTTAAGGAATAGAATAACTATTCCAGTTTGCCTCTTTCTCGGACTGACAAATCCCGGAACGCCAGTAAACTCCACAACACCGTCTATGATTGTTTCAAGGGCCAAGATCGAAGGTTGACATGTCGGCTGCAGAACCTCATAGTGTTGCAGACAGCCTAGGAATAGTCAGGGCTGTTCTCACCAACAAGCTGCTATACCGCTATGGCATTATCCCAGAGACCAGTGTTACCCCTGACCAAATATGCCAACATGGGTTGATCCGATTCGAGAGCCAGGATCCGGAGTCGATCAACCCAGTCGGTTATCTCCGGATTCCGTATATCTGGATTTTAGCCCTGTGCACAACATACCCAAGTAACTGATTCCTCTCATAATTGCAATTACTTGATTGCCGCCACTTTTAAACCAATCAGGACCCACCCATGTCTGGAGGCTTTTCATGGGCGGATTTTGAGAAGATCATGATCAGAATTCGCAAGATCAAGTCCCATGCTTTTGAAGACGGGGCGAGTATTACGGTGGGCGATTTCCATAGAAGCGTTTTCAGGGACCCCAGCTGGCGCGTCGGCGGCAGATGCCATTCTCACTCTGGATTCAAACATCCCACGCTGTGAAGCTCAGCAATAAAAGAATGTGCAGAAAGGGCGCATCAATTTCAAAACGGAACGTGAGGAGTCTGCGGGACCAAATTATGTCTTTGCCTTGTTCTGTACTAGTACGTACGGTCCCGAACTTGCGTACCAGTGGTAAAGTATGAAGTCTCGCATGGATCCATTCTGGTCGTCAGAGAGAATTGGGCAGAATACTTTGGACCGTACGCTGGGAAGTCATATGTTTTTGCAAGAGAGGGGAAGTTCAAATGATTTGCTTATTTTTTTTAAGAGTATGACATGTTTTAGCTTAAGTGACTAGTCCTGGATTAGATCCTGGTTGTGGAAAAATGGATTTCAATTGCACGGAGTAGATGCTTCAACTCAAACCGTAGATGTTGTCCACGACTGGAATCGTACTCCGGAGTCCTGTAGGAAAATGATAAGGCAGAGACGCTTCTGGGAGAAGACCAAGAAGAGAAACAAACGACGTTGCTGTTGAAGGTGAAGATTCAAAACAAGCAATATGCTCCGAGCACGAGCACTATCGAATGAGTCCTATATCGCCCACGGACTACCTTGAACATAGACGAAGTCTTTATTCCAAAGGAAGGGGATTGTCAACTTTCTCCCAGATCACTCATTCTGTCATTCAATCCACCGACCCAAAATCCGGTGATCCCTATGTTTATATTGTCATCTTTCACCCCCTTTCACCGAGAAAGTGCATCACAGACGAGTTTGCAGATACAGGTCCCGTCAATCTTTTCCTTTATACTTCGCTTTCATCATCATCTTTTACTAATGGCATAGGCTTGCCGTATCGCCCTCCAACCCCTGATGCACTGCTCAAATCCTCCGGCCATTGTTGGGACTATCAAGCTTCGCCAGAGTTAACCAAATTCCTTCGCAGCTCAATCGAAGAACAATTCAGACACTGCGAGAGCGGGTTTCTCGATAAGCTCACAATCCCACATTACCTGTTCATTTTTAGTGCCGGCACTGGCAAATCACGAAATGCCGCTGAGCTTCATAAGACTGCTTTTAAGTGCTTCGATGGCACCTATTTCAAAGAGAAGGACGAGAAGCTAGCCTCTCAGCTTCGGAATCCATTTGTATTTCATGTTAGCCTCGAAAACGGCACCGGCCTCCAGGCATTTGAAGATGATCCGTGGAGAGCCATAGGTATGCGGATTCTTTTCCAGATCCTTCTACAGGAAGCGACATCTAGTGGGCTTTCACTCGAAGATGTTTATTCCAAGTGGCACGCGCCCACGCCACGTGAGGTCATTCGGTTTCTTCAACCTGGGGACTCTTCTACATTGGAAAAGAGAACGACATTCCTCGTCGTGGATGGCTTTCACAAGATCTATGAAATATTCGGGGGATTCGTAACAATCGCGACTTTTAATCTTTTAATCGGCTGGGTGAATTGGCTCATCGTTTTGGTTTCATGATTTCTTGCGCCACATTCAGATATTCGACTCCAATTCCAGATGGAGTTCGCTTCTTACCGAAGGAGAATATCTCTTCCTTGCAGTCTCCTGAAGCCGCCGACAATTGATGGCGAGCCAGTTTTCATTACTAAAGACCTCGTTGGGAAAGTTGTCGTTGACGACTGTGGCGGCCATGGTCGAGCATTGGAAGCACTGGCTGATGCGTTTCAGGCCCTGCAGGTACTGATAATGATTTCAAATTCTATATGGTCAAGAAACTGCAAGATTACTATGGCGATATAATACCCGAAGAAAGCCAAGGGCTTGTAATAGCCAAGGCTGCACTAGCCAACCGACGCCTGCGAAGATTTGATGTCATTCCAGGGGCGGAAGTGACACCAGATCAACTCTGCCAAAAGGGTCTGATCCGCTTTGACAATGGTGAGAATTGGTCAAACATAGGCGGATACTTTAGGATTCCATACATATGGCTGTTGGCGTTATGCGTGGCATACCGAGATAACCAATTCTTTCAGGAACTCCAAATACTTGACTACCGGGACTTCCAGTTAAAGCACAATCCCAGCATGTCTGAGCAATTCTCATGGTCTGATTTTATGAAACTAATGGTCAAAATCCGGAAGTTAAAGTCTCATGTCTTCAAGAATGGCGCAAATGTGACTGTGGGAGACATACATGAGGGTGCAGTAATGAATGCTCGCACGCGCTATATTGGTTTCATCAATCATCACCTTGACAATGATGTTGCAGTGCATCACATACCCATACCCACAGACATAGCCCATTCAAATGAACATACTTGAGTGGTAGACACAGAACGTTTCGGCGAAATTGATATCCGCTAGCATAAGCACATCATCCAGAACGCCGCTAGTGCGTTGTCGTTGGCAGGAGACGCTATTTTATCGCTTGATTCAAACGTCCCTCTCACTGAGTTGCAGCAATATAACAATGCGTAAAGGGACGTGACATCGATGTTGTCAACGACATTTCTGTTCGTTTCTGTATAAACTCGTTTCCTGGCCTACGTGATAACAACAAACCCTTTCATTTTAGTTATGTTGTGCAAGCCGGAAATGTTCTCGTTGACATGGAAAACTGGGGTGAGTACTTTGGCCCGTATGCTAGTAGATCATACTTGGTTGCTAGCGAGGCGCTGAAGAAGAGTGGAGAAAGGAAAATGGGTAAAATGGGAGATTCTGGTGACAAGGAGGACTGATTAGTATTCTACTTGTATGGTCCGACTCGGCCCTTTCGAGATCTAGGCTCTGTGGGAACCATTTAGGGCTAGACATATATTAAATCATAGGCAATTGATTCCCCGTCATAAGCTACTGTCCCGGGAGCAATAGTATTAGAAATAACTGGAAAGTGACTTGAGACTATTATATAAAAAGCATTAAATACTAAGATACAATTACACACGCGCTAACTAGACAATACAACTGGATGCTCTCAATTTCCTCCCAAAGATGAATATGACCAAGACCGCCTTCGAAAGATACACCAGCACATTAACATTAGTGGACATTAGCAAGTCCCTTTTTCTGTCCATTTCATGTAGTTTCATCATTCAGTTTATGGGGTATCAATATTATATGGTTAATTCAAGACCTCCCTTTTCTCTGCGGTGGCCCTCCCAACATTCCTTCAACCCTGATTTTTCCAATGCAGGCCAGCCGTAGCATTATTTGAATCTCCAGTCATCCCAATCGTCATCGTCATCGTCATCATCGTCGTCGTCCTCATTGGCGTTTGCCTCGGACTCAGTCGCAGGGGGCGGCGCCGACTCCGCTTCTTCCGAAGCCCGCTTAGCTCTGAGCTCCTCCCGTTTTTGTTTCATTCGTCTCACACGTTCTTCCAGTTGTTCCATCTCATCGAACTCGTCCTCCATGAGCCGTGCTGCGTCCTCGCGTTCACCCTCTGCTTGAGCTTCGCGCGTTTGCGTAGTATCCTTGTCCTTCTCCTGTTGCTCAGCAATTTGCTCTGCAGTAATTGGCGCTGCTGATATCGTGGCTGGTGCGGCAATGGCAGCGGGTGCTTGCGGAGCGCGCGATGGTTCCGCAACTTCCCGTTCAAAAGCCGCCCATTCATCTTCATCAACGGTCTGAGGCTCGTTCGCGGAGGGTTGCTCATCGATTTGGTTCGTGTCTTCGGCTTCTTGCTCGTCTTCTGGCCCTGATGGGAGTTCCGGGCCAGCGGTTTCTTTTTCTGTGTCTTCCTCAAGATCTTGAGCGCTCGGGGGTTGTATTGCTTGTGATGTCTCCTGCTGTGCTGTCATTCCAGCAGGCTTTATCTTTTTCCGTATCGAGTCATCGCCAACGTCCACCTTTCTCTTTTTTGTAACCCGGTTTGCTGTGCTCCCTGTTTGGGCGGTGCCCTTGCGAGTGGCGAGCTCGTTCCGGAGTAATTTTCGGATGTCTGCCATTGCGGACGTAATTCGTGTCAAAGGAGGGATTAAATAGCGATAATCAGTAATTCGTCACGGAGGAAAATTCGTCAGATCAGTGACAGGGCAGTGCAAAGTAAACGTGGGTGGTGCGAAAAAGAAGGGGTGTGTGTCGTGCTTATGTGGAGAAGCGGCGAGAGCTGGCCACGCCTACAAGTTAGTGAGGAAACGCGACAGAAAAATCCCGGTGGCGTCTGCCAAGCTGCTAATTGACTCCCCGCCGAGCCTCATGCACGTGATTGCTTAGTCACGGCGCAGTCGCGCCCGCTCGACCTTCTCGTTTCTCTCGCTTTCTCCTCTTCATTCCATCAACCATCCATCGCGCATTACTCTATCAATCCTGTACTTGAGTACTGGTATTATTGAGGAGTCACGCCAGCTTTATCGAATCTCTCTTTTTGCCATCAACGTGATTCAGGTCCAGTCTCATACTGTCAAGTTCAGGACAGGCTTTTCACGCGACCCCGCTTACGCCAACCCCTCGAGACTGCGACACGCGACAAACTCTTTCGCAGTCATTCTGCTACAGTGAATACGAGTCGCAGGCCTCAACAGAACTAGAGGACCTAGTTGAAAGAGAAGGAAAAGTTCAAGTAATACTCGCAAACCGGGTGACTCGTGCCTCTTTTCTGCCGTGTCTTTCCCTTGCGCGTTACTCTTTAGCGCACACACACCACACCCCCTGTTTCCGTAGAAAGAAAGCTGTTGGGTGGGCGCGCACAGCCAGCTCTGAGCACAGTCTACAAAGCGTCGTAGAAATACCCGAGTATTTGCATTATGGCTGGTAAGCAATCGTATAATGGTCCCTGCGCCATGGCCGCACGGAGCCCACCCCAGAAACGGAGGCAAGGCAGAAGGCGGCTTAGGGCATGGCCCCCCCAAGTCTGATTGGATAGAATGCTAACTGCAAGATACAACAGATGAGCCACGACGTTCCGGCCGCTCGACGAAAGGCCAGCACAAGAACCTCGACATGGTCACCGAAACGCCTATGAAGAAATCGAAGTCCAAGTCGCTATCGAAAGACAAATCCTCCAAACCTTCCGCCGAACCGACGCCTGGACCCAGCGAAGAAGGAGAAGAAGAAGAAGAAGAAGAGGAACTCATAAGATGTATTTGTGGGGAATACGAGGAGGAGGAAGATGTCGAACGCGACATGATCTGCTGTGACCAGTGCTCAGCATGGCAACACAACGACTGCATGGGCCTCAAGTTCGCCAAAGGAGAGGAACCGGATCAGTACTTCTGCGAGCAGTGCAAGCCGGAAAACCACAAGGAGCTTCTGGATAGAATGGCGCGCGGTGAGAAGCCCTGGGAGGAAGTCGCTGAGAGAAGACGCAAAGAGGCCGAAGAGAAAAAATCACGGCGCAGAAAGGGCAAGAAGGGTGGCAGAAGAGGCAGACCAAGTGAGGCCAAGACAGAAGAGAGTACGCCAGCTGCTTCGGTCAAGGCTCAAACCCCGAGTTCGGCTCCTTCTGTCCCTCCAACCGTGCCGCATGCAACTGAGGAAAATGACCATGCCGGTGATGCTGCACCGACTGGTGCTGCACTGGCGAGCACTCCCAAGCGCAAGTTTGATGAACACCAAGAGAGTCCACAGTCTGAGGTCGTAAGTAATTTGTCATTGCCCTGATCAGACTTCATTGACTGACTGTTGTTTAGGGCCCCAAAACGAAACAGCAAAAACTATCGCCTCCAACAAAAGTATCGCCTCCAGGAAAGGAAGCAACACCGCACAGAAAACCTTCGACTAACGCGCCGTCATCTCGCCAGAGCTCTGTCACTGAGAAGGCATCTGAGGGGCCAGGCACACTGGAGGAGATTACAAACCCAGCCCGGAAAACCGTTGCCAGTGCTCTAGTCAAGCTATTTGTAGAACAGGTTTCTGATGTGCGGAAACAAGACTCTTTCAAATTGCCTAAGGGCAAGACAGTGGAGGAGATCGCCGGGCAGCTCGGTATGTCGATCGAGCATGCTATGTACCAAAATCTTTGCGGAGGATCTGGGGAACCAACGGAACAGTATAAGTCACAGCTTCGGACGATCTTGTTCAACGTAAAGAAGAACACGTCCCTACGGGATAGTTTGCTCGTAGGCAATCTGCTCCCAGATTCTCTATCCAAGATGAGTTCCCAGGACATGGCGAGCAAGGAGCTCCAGCAAAAGGATGCGGAAATCAAGCGAGAGGCGGAGCGTCAGCACATCATCGCCACCCAAGAGCAAGGGCCGCGGATTAGACGGACGCATAAAGGAGAGGAACTGGTTGAAGAGGACGACCACGTTTCAAGCGAACCTGTTTTCTCGACGGCTCCGGCTCGTCGTATGACTGACGGAAGCCCCAGCCCCGATGACCAGCAGCGTCGCAAGTCGAACGAAGGCCGACGAGCCGGCAAGCCACGACCCATTGACACCGATGGACAGTCACACGACCAACATTTCGCTCATTCCCCCAGTCATGATGACCAGGTCTTCCCAGAGGTTGCCACGCATATCCGAGAACCTGTGCCAGGTGCAAAGGTCCAGGCTGATGCAGAGATCGATAACCTACTGAGGGATGATGATGAACCCGACTCGCCTCCATACTCCCCCAAGGAGTACAATGATGAGGGATCTGTGTGGCGCGGCAAGGTGGTGATGAACCCCATTGGAGAGTTCTCATCATCAGCAAAGCATGTCGGTGGTGCCGACCTGAGCGAGAGCTTACCATGGGGCCAGCTTGCGCCGCCAACATTGCTGATCAATGGCCGGATAGAGATCCAGCTGGCCAGCAACTATCTCTGTGGCCTACGGTTCAGCACATCGACAGACGTCGTCGTGATGTCCATCAATGCGCCTGAGAACCCGAAGGAGCGCGCAGGATTCGACAACCTGTTCAACTACTTCGCAGATCGCAAGAGGTACGGTGTCATTGGAAAGCACCCATTGTCGTCCGTTACGGATACGTACCTCATCCCGGTTGAGGCTGGGACAACGAAGAAGCCCGATTTCCTCGAATTGCTGGAAAACAATTCCCTTGATGATTCCCTGCAGGAACGGATTCTTCTGGCCGTGTTCGTCATCAAGACTGGTGTTTCGAACCGTCCTTCAGTACAGCCCCCGTCGCATCACCCGAGCCAGGAACCCGCAAACACCGCAAGCCCGTTGACTACTGCTGCGCCTACGCCTCAGCAGGCGCAGGCTCCGTACATGTTGCCGGGACAGCAGCATCCAGCTCAAGTATCCCCTACTACGCCAGCACCTTTCCCTGGCGCACCAATTCCTGCACAGGCACCACAATATGCCCAGCCGCCACCGCAGCAGCAGCAACAACAACAACAACCTGCTCCCCCAGCGGGTCAATTCCACCAATATCAACCCAACGCCCCCGCCCCTCAGCCTGCTACTGGCCTCCCAGCCGCCATCCAAGTGCTAGGACCTCAAGCACATGCACCTGCAATTCAACAGCTCCTTCAACAAGCACCGAATGCAGATGCCTCCCAGCTATTGGTGGTACGGGATATCCTCTCCCGACAACCGGATGCTGCGTCCAGCTACCAGGCGTTGACTGAGGCACTGTTCCATGCTACAACTAATGGACATGGTGCGTCATAGGGAGGGTGTTTATATGTACATAGGATTCAACATTGACTTTGGAATTTTTTCTTTTCTGTGTATCAAGGCGTGGCTTGTAGTTTTGTTGGTATGGCGTCGTTTTTTATGATATTATCTCGCTAGTGAGATTGAATAGGGTGGTTATGTTGGGATTCTTTTTATTCTCTGCTCATTCTTCTCTTTACTGTTATGTCAAACAAGGACTATTCATACATTGTGAAGCTTGTCTCTTCTTATTCTTTCAATAGATTTGTGTAATCCTTGTACTACGAATCTATTTTGGTTTACTTGAATCAATTTGTAGACAGATTCTCCAAATCATCCATTATATATTGGAATATGGTAGATACAAACGCACTAACGCCTGCGCTATGCTTATACCCAGCAAAAAGACGAAATATTAAAAGATCCAAAGATAGCCATTTACCATCGTCCCCGTTTCCTATATCCACCGCCACCATACCTCGGCCCTCTACCACCACGTCCACCACCTCCACCACCCCAACCACCATCCTCATCATCATGGTGCCGAACCGGCGGCGGCCGTCCCTTAAGCTCCTCACTAAGCTTCTTCCAACCCTTGCGCATATCCGAGTATCCCATGTGCATCTTTCCGAAGAAATGATCCGCCAGACGACGGTCGTTATCCAGTCGACTGAGGTATGCGCCGCACACGTCGCAGACTTGCAGTTTCTGGTGGCCGGAGGGGCCGGAGGTATCTTGGAGGTTTTTGAGTTCGCGCTCGCAGGTTTCCTTTTGGTGTTTGGCGGTGCGGATCTTGTGGAGTTCGTTGAGGGCGAGGGCGACGGAGCCTGTTTCTCCGAGGACGGAGACTTCGAGGAGACCTGTGTTGATTGTTTTGGAGAGGTCGGAGATTTGTTTCAGCTGGTCTTGTTAGCATTGAATAATAGGAGAGTGGAAAAGAAGCTTACCAGATTATTCGTCTGCCGAATCTCATCCGGCGTTTTCTCCAACCGCCGCTGAGCAGAATCAATCCTCCGATCACAATCATCGATATACTTCTGCATATCGCGCATGTAGTCAAAGTCAAACCCCCATTTCGCCTTCTCCCCAGCAGATGCAAGCTCGTACTCCGTCTTCAGACCCTCGCTGTGCACCTTGGGACAAGGACCAAGGTCCTGCTTGGTATTCGTGAAGAGATCGTGCGGGCAGGTTCCGACCAGGTACGAGCGACAGACTTTTGAATCGGTGATGGATAGCTGGGCATTACGCGAGGGTGTTCCGGTGCCGACGAGGTTGTCCGCTGTTGTTTGGGAGGTCTTTGTTAACTTTCTTGGACTTTCTTTGCACTGAGTTGAGATTTGTGGATGGCTTACCTCCCATGAGCTGCTCGAGCAGCTTTCTCTGTTCCGCCGCCATTGTCAACGAGAGAAATAAACGTTACCAGTGAAAGGGTCCTCCAGAGCAATTCACTCGCTGTTTCGTTGGTATGATAAGAACTTAAGCTGTCGCGCCGAATGATGTCTTTTTGCGATGATGGCGCTTGGCGGGCGGTGAAGCGTTAGGCGCGGCTGCGCTTGAGTGGCCCCTTTTGGCAACTTGGTCGTCGATGCTCGTAATTGAGAGAAACTGTTGGCTTTAATTATATGATAGCTAAGAAGACGGAGATTACCTGATCTCGTGTCTTTCTTTTTAAAGGAAGGTGTCAGGGACTAACCGGTGCTGAGTTGTGCCAACATCAACCGCCAGAATCCCGATCCAAACTCCCCGATACTCTCGCCGCATGGCCCATTGACGAGCCAACGAAGTCAAGTCCTCACTGAATATCTATTTGGGGAAACTCTACGGCAAGAATGACGTGATGACGGTCCTCTTTCTACTTCCTCTGCTCCTCCTGACGGCGCTGTCCACACTCACCTCCGCCGCACCGGACTCCGACTACCACGAAGGCCTCGTCCTCCAACCATTGCCGCAATCCTCCCTACTAGCTTCTTTCAATTTCCGCAGTAATACATCGCAAGAGTCCTTTGAACAGCGGCATTTCAGATATTTCCCTCGCGCGCTTGGCCAGATCCTACAACACGCGAATACCAAGGAACTACACCTCCGCTTTACGACGGGAAGATGGGACGCTGAGAGTTGGGGCTCAAGGCCGTGGAATGGGTCTAAGGAGGGTAATACTGGCGTGGAATTGTGGGCGTGGATTGATGCTCCGGATGATGATGGGTATGTTGTCCCAGGCTATGAACTGGAAACTAGGGAAGCTAATGCTGAGCTGTTGAAGGGCGTTCGCGAAATGGATCACCTTGACCCAGTCCTTGTCGGGCCTTTTCTGTGCGTCCATGAACTTTATCGATTCTACTCGAACTACACGGCCAATCGCATCCTTTGAGCCTGCGGGCGATCATTCATCTAGTCAACTACATCTACTCCATGGGACGCTTCCGGGTGAGGTTGTCTGTACGGAGAATCTTACACCTTTTCTGAAGCTTCTTCCTTGTAAGGGAAAGGCTGGTGTCTCTAGTCTGTTTGATGGACACAAATTGTTCGATGCGTCGTGGCAGAGTATGGCCGTTGATGTGCGTCCGGTCTGTCCTGAGTATGGCGAGTGTATGGTGCAGATTGAACAGACTATTGACATGGTGCTTGATATTGATCGATCGAAACGGCCTCGGGGTACGTTTTTCAAAGGCTTATAGTAACGATACAGTTTACTAACAATGGCAGACAACCCGATCCCACGCCCCGTCCCTAACGAGCAGCTTGTTTGTGACACTTCTAAACCCTATAACGCCGATGATACATGCTATCCTCTCGAAAATACTGCAGAAAAGGGGTGGAGTCTACAAGAGATCTTTGGACGCACTATTAGTGGTGTCTGCCCTCTCACGGAGGATGAGAATCCAGGCAAAGAGACAGTTTGTCTACGGGTACCGCATGAGAGAGGGATTATTATCTCTCCAGGAGCATCTGAAACCAGGAACCCTGACGGCCTCTCCCGTTGCTTCAACTTGGAACCATCAAGCCCGTTTGACCTCATTATTCCGGAACAGGAAGCTCTCACCCATGTGCCGCTCGATGAGCCAGCCCTAAGCGCTGAGCGAACGATTGTCGGCCATGGCCAGGAGCGTGGCGGCATGCGGATTATTTTCGACAACCCATCGAACTCAAGCGCCGTCGACTTCATTTACTTCGAGACTCTACCTTGGTTCCTGCGGCCTTACGTGCACACATTACAAGCAACTATCATCGGCCGCGACGGAATCCGCCGCTCAGTCCCTGTATCCCAAATCGTCAAAGAAACCTTCTACCGTCCAGCCATCGACCGCGAACGCGGCACACAACTCGAACTCGCTCTATCCGTCCCCGCCGCTTCAACCGTGACGTTGACATACGACTTTGAAAAGGCCGTCCTGCGTTACACAGAGTATCCCCCGGACGCCAACCGGGGCTTCAACGTTGCGCCTGCAGTGATCAGACTCTTAGGGCTGCGGGACCAAGCCCAGTCTTACGAATACTACTCCCCAGTTTACATCCGCACGACAAGCCTTCTTCTCCCTCTGCCGACGCCGGATTTCAGTATGCCGTATAACGTGATTATTCTGACGAGTACTGTTATTGCGCTTGCCTTCGGGAGTATCTTCAACCTGCTGGTTCGTCGTTTTGTTGCAGCGGATGAGGCGGCTGCTCTTACGGCGCAGACCTTCAAGGGGAAGATCGTTGGTAAGGTTGTCGCGTTGCGGGATCGTATTAAGGGGAAGGGTTCCAAGATGGAGTAGCTTACTATATGTAATTTATTATAGCAGTTCGATTTCATGCATTAAGTACAAACAAGTAATTATCCAATTTCTCATGCAAAACACAACAATCATAACAAAAACCCAATCCACACCCTATCTTCCCTGCCCATGCAACCTAAAACCACAAACGCATCAGCACCATCCAACCACCAATTCAATTCAATCAATTCACTCATTTAGTTTGGAAAGAAAGGAAGTCATACGTCGCCTCAACCGCATTCTTCGTCTTCGACCACCCCGGCAAGGTATCCGAATTCCCCGGCCGATGACACATAAAGCTATGATCCTCAGTCTGACAACTGGTATTCGACCCCTCCCCTGATATATCCATGTTCGTGTCTGTAGCGCGTTGCGCGAATTTGGACGTTGCGGCGCCTTTTTGTTCTTGTAGGGGGAGGTATTCGCCGAAGGTTGCTTTGGCGTTGGGGGGCTGTTCTCTCGTCAGTTATCGTTCATGCTCTTCTTTTGAACTTCTTTGAAGTTTGAGGGCTGGATGGATGATGAATGGGGGAGGAGGCGCACAGCTACATGACCAGTTCCTTGTGATCCACCCTTGAAGAAACCCTTATCACCCCAGCCTGTGCCGCCGCCGGTGTTGTTGGCTGGGGTTGGGACTGCGCTGGCGCCGCCTAGCGTCGAGGTTCGGGGGTGGTTGCCGCGGGAGCTTTGCTTGGTTTCGGGGTATGCGTCGGTCATTTTGATGGTATATAGAGTATTTTGTAGAGTATGGGGTATAAGTGGAGCTTGTAATTGTTTCGGGTGTAAGATCAGATGAGGTCAAGCAGATGGGTGAAGGGTTTGAAACGAAGGCATTGCCATTGCCATCGCCATCGCCTCGCCATCGCCCCTAGTATACAAATGGAGTCCATGGAGTGACTTCACTATGAGAGCATATGTGTCCTCTGATTGGCTAGGCTGTTGTTGTCCGGGGTTAGGTCGTTTATTGATTGATAAGATTGATAAAATGCTATCAAGGAATCAATTTGCATTGACAGTCGTGTCGATTCTGAACAGAAGTGTATTATATATAACCATCATTGCACGCCAGTCATATATAGTATCATGCAAGTATCAAAAGGAAGGAACAAACAAGTAATAGCAATGTCAGGGATATCAAAGTCATCACGGGACATGTAGCAACAACAAATCATCAGAAAGTCAGGTATATAGTCTGCGAGACGATTACTGCGCTTCGACTTCGTCTGCCCATGTAGATCCCTCCACAGGCGACCAGCTAGGTTCAATCTTCTCAGCTGCGGCAGCCCAGTTTGGTTTGGCATCAGCCGGAAGGTCCTTAGCACCTGGAAGAGCCGGGAACTCGGCTTCATTGCCAGCAGCTGGCGCAGGCGTCGGGGGTTTCGTTTCGCTTGTCGCAGCAGCAGGCTTCTCGAAAGCATCATTGGGTTGCCAACCATCCCTCCGCGGTCCGCGAGAATTGTTTCGTCCTCGTCCACCCCTACCACGTCCTCGACCGCGATTACCGCGATGACCGCCCTGGTTGTCCCTTGGGTTCTCATCCGGACGACCATCATCAAAGTCCCGTCGAGCATAACCCGAAACACCACCGTGCATTCCGCGCCGGAAACCACCCTTCCCGCCCCGAGGATTATAGTCTTCCTCCTGCTTGGTAGCGTCCCACTCCCGTCCGTTCAAAGCATTCATTTTCCGCTGGCGATTACGCTCGCGCTCCGAGTCCATCACACGACGGTTCGCGCGCTCTTCGCGTCGTTTCTCATCGGCGACTTTCTCGCGTTCGAGGAAGGATGCTTGATCTGCTTCTGCGCGGGCATGAGCGGCGGACAGCTTGGCGGCGTTTTCTTTGGCAGCTGCCATTCGTTGGGTGAGTTGTTCTTCGGTGAGTTTGGGCTGTTTCGTCAGTTCACCAGCTTCACATAACTAGAACATAAGCATACCTTCTTAATCCCACCCGTAGCACTGCGATCACCACGAACAGCTGGAACACGCGGACCCTCGGCCCCGCCGTTCGAAGCAGACCCCTTCGACTCCGACGCAGCATCATCATCCTTCTCTTCAACCTTCTTCTCCCCCTCTACATTGCCACTCTCAGGCTCGGGTGTACCCTCAACCGGCTTCTTATTCCCACCCTCACCCCTTCGCCCCGACGCATTCGACCCCCTCCCTCCACGACCTCTCCCGCGACCCCGCCCTCTCCCTCTCTCGCCCCCGCGCCGCGACCCAGATGGTGCCTGTGTAGGAGCTGGACTAGCAGCTGGCGATTCAGTCGGTGTTTCGTCTGGTTTCGTTACAGTCTCTTGTACTTCCTGCGGCGGGGCGTCTGCGGATACTTGCTGTTGCTCCGCGGGGACGGGGATGATTTCATCGTCGAAGAGATCATCGCCGCCTCGGGTCTGCGCGAACTCGTCTTCGTCGGCCATTGTTTATATACTGAGATGTGTTCTTTGAATAAGAGAATAAAATGGGGAATTAGTTTAGCAGACAGATGGCAAACAATGGAATGTAGGCTAGACTAGGCCTAGGCTGCAGTTAACTAACTAACTAGTTAGTTACTCGAGCCGCTGATTCAGCGCTAGTTATCGCGGAGAGCGATATCGCCAATGGCACCTGCGCAGGGACGGGTTGTGATTGGTTCGTTTATATTCGGATCTAATTGGCCGAATTGAGCTATATCAAATGTTGTATTCGAGTTGGTTGACAATTATAACCGGCTAGGCCCTGAAGTTAGTGACTAGCTACAAGAATAATTCGATAGAGAAATAAAGACAGGACGCCTGCCGAGATAGGTCGTCACCTACTTGCAAGGTGACTAGGCGTGGCCCATCACAACAATGATTGAACCAATTTAAATCTATGGTCGAAGTGCCTTGATGCAGCCGTACTAGCCACGTTCTTGCCGACACCTCAATACCCCTCATCGCCTTTCTCTAGAGTGATAGAACATTGCCTACACTTCGGATCTCTCTAGTCTTGCTACCTGGAATGACCTGAGCTTCCAACCTGAACAAATAGATCCACTGGTCTGTATGATTGATTGGTGATTCTCTGGGAACGGACATGACCGCTCAGCTTGCTTCAGTTTAGCTGGAGAACAGAGCTAGTACGCTAGTACTGAAAGAAGCCAATCTAGAACAATCACGCTCTGTTTCTGATCTCTACCTTCACGGAAGGGTGATCCGCAATACCAGAGCGATGAGGGACCGAGGTGCTGAGTTTCTGAGTATTTCCAGTTAATTTTGGAATCATGTATCAAGTGACAGGCAGAAATCCGGTATATATGTACAAACTCAACGAAATCCTTATATACACATCACCACCACTCATCTATGATGCTCTTGCAAAAGAAGCTGCTAATTCCCCGGCACCCAATGGCGCGGAAGAGCTCACTCTCATGGCTAGCACTCGAAGAATCCTCCGCATAGAAGCAGCAAATGCATGGAAGACTGAATGGGCTGCTTCCCCCCATGGGAACTCCGTCCGTCGTTTATGGAAAGAACCCTCAAAAGCGCCAATGCAGCTATACCAAGGCCTTCGGAGAGCTGCTACATCAGTCCTCATTCAAATGCAAACTGGGAAGATTGCGCTGGCCAGTTACCTTGGTACCTTCAAGGCTATGGAATCAACTGAATGCTCCTGTGGACGTGGCCTCCAAGACATACGCCATGTTCTCCTCCACTGTACCAACCAGGCAGGACCCCGGATGCGCCATCTTACACAGGGATCAAGGCGGGAGCTGGATTACCGGGCCTACCTAACACGGCCAGACCTGGTACCAAAAGCAGTGCACTTCATGCTTGAGACAGGCCTCCTAGGCCAGTTTCAAACTCTACCAACCACATACCGAGC